ATTTTTCGTCCCAGGTTCTCAGGACATCAATCCATGTTCTTTCGTCGAAAAACTCAGAACGATGATGGCGAACTTAAAACCAGTGCCTGTTGTGCACCACTCCTATCGCAACCCATTTATCCACAAAGAACTGCACTCATGTTCCCACGTATTTCTCCGCAATGATGCTGTACGGAAGCCCTTGCAGCCTCCATACGATGGACCCTACGAAGTCGTGTCACGCGGTAGCAAGACATTCACTCTATGCATAAAGGGAAAAGAAACTGTAGTTTCTATTGATCGCCTGAAACCGGCTTTTATTCTCGCAGCGAGCGAGTCGGACCAGTTACCCCCAACGTCTCCAATGCCAAGACCAGCGACGACTAAACATACGACAGAAGATCGAGCCCCAACGCGACAAACTACCACGCGCTCTGGCCGACATGTATCGTTTCCCGTTCGTTTCGTGTCTCAGACACTGGTGGGGGAGTAGCTGTGGCCGCCAGCGCCAGAGATCCTGAACACTGTCTGGCAACACTTGCCAAGATCACGAACTCTGTCTGGCAACACTTGCCAACAAGAGTGGCTGGCAACGTAAAAAAAGAAAAGGCGCGAAAGTTCGTTGGATTTTGTCCGGGTGTTGCCCGAGGATGTCTGTGACAGTTCTAACCTTTTCTAATAAAGTTCTTTTTTGTTACTGTTCGTGTTTGCCTGCTTAATGTTAGATCTAAACATCAGTAGGACAGAATGACACAGTAAACAACAGAGCCGGGAAAATAAAAATAAAAATAATTCACTATTTCAAAGTTATTTAAAATATATTGAATTACATGTTATTTAAATTATAATAGTATATTAATAATGATAAACTGTTTATTTATTCAGATGTTTCTGTACTTATATATAATATTTCAATAGTAATTATCAGCATCATTCCAGATGAGCAATAAGGTCAAATATATATCAAACCAGAATATATTTGGCCTTACATATACAAAGGTTTGATACAGATTTATAAGGCTTTAATTAGTAACTTGATAATATTTAAAGTCTTGGAGCGGATTATGTTCGTTAACCAATCACTCACTGTACTTAAAAATCACATTATATATATATATATTTATCTTACAAAAAGAAATTAGCTTTTATAATTTATATTTTACCTCCATAAGAAAATCTAGTCGACTACCTGGATTATGTAAAAAAGTTTTCTGCTCTATTCATAATTCAACCTAAAGTCAATAATTTTATAAATAAATAAAGATTTTGAAAAATAAGATGTTGTATCATGTTGTACGAGTCACTTAGCTTTTACAAATACGTGAGCCGTTCACAGCCCGGCACACGTATTTGTAAAATCTAAGTGACTCGTACAACATGGAATTCATATAAAACGAAATTATCAACAGTTTTATAGGGGGTCGACTGTAATTAATCTGTTTTAATTATAACTATTTAGTTGTTCTGTTCTTATAACAACAAACAAACAGTCTTAATGAATGTTTTCAAATTTCGTAAATTTCTAATATCATGATAATTATTGGGATTACAAATAATAACGAAAGGTATGTTTTTAGACTAAACGTCTCTCTCAGTATATAATAATTCATTATTCTAACTAGTGATTACTTAATTTGTTTGTTAAAGAAATGATACTCTATACTAGATAATGTTAAAAAAAACCCACTTATAACGACGTAAAACCGTTTTAACGTCATATTTGAAGCACTCCCAAATTTAGAAAATTAGATTACAAATTTTTTTTAACCTAGAAGAAACTACGTGTTCGGTCCTAAGGTCAGAGTTCACTTCTTAGAATGACTGCGGGTAGTATTCTCCCCTACCTGACTTCGGTGGGGTGAGGTGGCTGTTTTGCCTGTTTGTAGAAAAGGGTCGCCATTTTGTATTTTATTTTGACTCGATTCTCGGTCCTCCGACTAACTACGAGTCTGGATTTTTTTATGCGCAAATGATTTGGGCACCTAATACTCTGTGCCAAATATCAACTCTCGACATGTACTCCTTCATACCTCTATGCCAGTAAGAACGAGAGATTTTATAAACAGGACAGTCTTGTCAATAACTTGTAATGCTGAAAAAATTGTATGATCTATGATCTGATAAAAAAAAAAACACAATATGTTCAAGCACATTAATCATTGTTTTACATATACAATAATAAAATATATATAGAATAAGGTACTCGTTATTAACAAAAATAAGTAGCACAATTAGAATCAAGTACAGTAGAACCTTGATTATCTGAGGTAATTTGAACCAATGCTATCTCAGATAACTAAAAACTTAAATAAAGCAAATAGCCACAGCTATTTCATATTAAAAATTATGAATAAAAATGATTTATATGGTATATCATTTTTAAATCTCTTTTTTTTTTACCTTAGTGATTTTAATCCTATATAAAAATTATTATTCTTATATCATTTATTACACTGCTAATACATACATGCAATACTTTTAAGAATAAAAATGTGTATTATTGTATTTACATTTTAATATGAATACTGTAATTCACATTGAAATCCAATGATAAAAATTTAAGATAGCAATTTCTTTCATTCTTTGATTTTACAAACAACTCAGAAATTCAGTCTCTTAAAGAAATGATTTGATATTTAATTAAAATATTTACTTCTATGGAGTTTAAAAACAGATGAGCGTAAAGTCAATAATTATACTGTAAATAAATAAAGATTTTGAAAAATAACATCCAGTTATTTAAATTAAGTTTTATGTTATGGGAATAGAACAAAAGTTCTTCAGAAATTATCATTATAGATTAACTAAAAACAAGGTCATAATTGATTAAAATTTATTAATAAAAAAGGTTATATAATAACAAGTTTGCCAGCTTAAATAACAAGTACAGAAATATGGTTTTAAAGTCATAAAATCTTTAAGTTATGCCTTAAAATTATTATTTAGGATAACTTGATTATCCTAAATTTCGTTTATATATAAAATATGTCGTATAAAGTTAAATTACTTAGCCTTTTTGATGGAAAACAAATAAAAAGACCTATTATTTCGGTTAAAAGTTATTTATTAATAACTTTAACCGAATCGATGTTATTGAATTATTAATATAGCCATAAAAATGATTTTCGAAACCAACGAATACAAACTCAATTGTGCATTTTTAACATTAAAATGCAATTTCTATAAACGTAAAAAAAAAAGAAAATAAAATACATTCAATTTGAAAATAATTTTTCTTTTAATCCTGATTTTAAATCTTCCAAATCGCTCGTTATTAAATAATTAAAACAATAAAATCTTTTCCTTCTTAATTGTTTTAATTTAATTTTTTTTTATCAAATATTTTCTATGAAGTTCATAAGATTTTATAAATTATGATTATTATTTTTTAAATATATGTTATATAAGAAGATATCTTTCAAACATTTATGCCAATTTCGGGGCAGAATCTTAATATAAATTATTTAATTTTTCCTTTATAATGATTATCAAATAACTTTTTAATAGATATTATCTTTACCTTATTATACATGAAAATGTGTTAAAATTGCGTTATGGCGTCGGCTTCGAGATAGGGAGAGTTTATTTCCGCGTTATTTTCAGGGAATTCCAATTTCGTTTCCGAGATTAAGAATTGATTTAAAACGTCCGTTATTTATCGTACGTTGTACTTAACGTGTTCGTAATTAAATATGGCCGGGGCGGTTCGTTTTTCAACGTAAAATCTCGTTTAATTTGGATGCCACAACAGTTTTCCAGCATCCACGTCATTCGTACAAAGTAGTTTTCACCGTAATTTCTTAGTGTATAAAAATTTACTACGAAGGTATTAGGGTGAAAATTATTCCATAAGGCACGCCATTTTACAAACTGTGCGCGAGGAGAAAGTACACTTTAACAAAAGAAATTATCCTGTACATACGATACATGCTACAAGAGTGCGTATTTGTTTATATTTGTATGCGCGTACGTGGAAAAATGCTCCTATCATGTAATCAATATGACTTCGATCTTTGGTGTTTTGGCTGGTGTGCACGTTCGTGCGCACCGGCCAAAGATCCTCGCGACAAATTGAAATGTATTTCAAAACTGTTTTTGGCATACAATAATATAATTCGATTTTTCCGTTTTTTACATAGAACGGGTTTCTGAACGTAAATATTACACACACATCAATACACAGAGGAGTGCAATAGTAGTATAAAAAACATAAGTAGGTAGGGAAAAATCATATATTTACACACAAATTAAATTCACAAATAATACGAGGTTTAGGTTTTATTCGTTATAAGGTAACCCTACACGTGGACGATCTGTCGAAAGGGGAAGAATATCTCCTGGGGTTCTTTTATGGGAAACTGGCCCGTTTAGGTATCATAATTTCAAATTCCTTACGTGACAAGATAAAAATAATAATAAACACCAAACATACGTATTTCTCAAATTCACAGCAACTGTATAACTTTTGCACCGGTATATAGGGTGTACTTTGTTGTTTGTGCGTGCGTAAATCTATTTAGAAAACTAGCAAATTTAGTAGGCTACTTTTATACATCGCAGTAGCTTTTGTGATTAACTTTTAAACATTAAAATACTTCACTGGCAACTGCTTTGTGTGCATTTTACCCACAATAATAATAAATAACTGCACAATTTATGGTTATTTTTTAAAAAATGTACTGTACTGTACTGTACACTTTCTTCTTACAAATTACCATTCTACCTGTAAAAATTATTTCGAATGCCCCATTTGTTAATGGTCATTAAAAGGAATTTTCGTTTGGTGCCACTCAAGTTTTCTTTTTATTGTTTTTAAAATTTACAAAACCGTGCTCGTTACATATTACAATTTGACAATTTTAATTTCGAGTATTTTTAACGGGCGAAATACGTTTGGAGTATTTAGTACCTGAGTAAACGAGTGTGGAAAATTTGAACTTGAAATATTGCGACGGACGTAAAATCGAGTAAGAACGAGCAGTTTACAGTGTTTGACTCGACGAAAATAAGACCTACGGCAGTTGTTTTAATTGTATATTTATATTATATATTTTAAAAAATAACAATATAAATACTCGGCCAAGGCAAACGGGCGTCCTTCGTCTCTGTACAGGCAGCCGAATACGGGAAAATCGGGAATGTTTAGATGATGCCGCTCCACCTCGATATAACGCTACTTTTGGACCGCGGGCGTGCTACGCCTCCGACCTCTTGGCTCCTCCTTCGACACATCTCAATATTTCTTTTACTAAAAATATATATATATAGGGGGGTCTTCCCGTCCGGCTGCCCAACACGATAAATGCCATTTCGACGGATAGGGTCGACGGACGTTAGGAGGATACTTCGGTGGACGATTCCAAGATGTCGGAGGAGGAGTTGGGAGGCGGCGACTGATCGGAAAGATGCGTTTCCAACGTCTTGACGGTGCTGAGGATGTTGGCTCGCTGCAGCGGACTCATCTGCTGCACGATGTGAACGGCCGAGTCCACCGCCACTTCTGGGTAATCTTGTAACAATCTGAAAGGGGGAATCGGTTAGAGGGGTAAAGGACGGGGTGAGGGGACGGGGAGGAGTTACTTACTTGCGAATGTGAGACAACACGGCGTCTCGTTTCAGGCAGTGGATGTTGTCCTTAACCACGGATCTCTCTCGAGAGCTATCCAGTTGGGAGGTGAACCATTCCACCACGGCCTTGTTGTCGTCCCACAGATATTGCTGTCGGTATAAACGGAAATTAACGGAAGAACTTCCTCCCGCGCCGCTCGAGAGCGGAAAAACTTACATTGACGGCTTCGTGATACTCCAAGAACCACCGACGGAACATGGATTCGATCTCCCCGTCGCTCAAGTTGGGTTTCACTTCCAGGATTTCCGCTTTGATCCGGTCCTGAATCAGCAGGCGGCGGAGTCTCCAATACAAAAGGGTTCGACTTTTGGACCAGGGAAGAACGTCCTGCGAGGGAAGAGGGTGAGCCCGGCACTTTTTCTCGCCAATTCTTTCGATGGTCGGCTTACCTGCATCACTCCCTTCTCCTGCATGTGGGCGGGAGTGTCGTGTAAATCGGCGAACGTCAGAGCCACCTGGTGGTAGATGGGCAGTAACAGCGTTTCCCTTTGTTCAAGTTGCCTCTTCAGCGCTTCCTTCTCGCTCTGGGACACGTCCGATGCTTTTAGCTGCGACAGAATTTCCACGCAGGCGCTGTCGATTCGGTGCATGCTTTTCAACAAGTCCTTCTTACGAAATCTGATTTCTACGGTTCCCTCCGGTTCTAATATTCCTCCCCTGAACGAGAAATCGGTTTCAACCGGCATCCGACCGTTTTTTAAACCCTAACTTATTAAGTAGGAATCGACTCTACCTGCTTTCGGGTGCCGCGTACATTTCCATGTGTTTTTCGTTGATGGTGGCGTCCACCACCACCCACGCTCCTCCCCTCAATTCCGCGTAGGGAGGGATGTAGACGATGATCGGCTGGTTGTATTCCCTCAGTGCATCGACTATATAAGCTCCGAATTTGAGTACTTGGTCGTACATGTCTACGAGAAAAAGACGAATTAGTAATACGAAAAACAATTTAGTAACCAAATTCTTGGAATATTTACCTTTCATTCCTCCCGAGAACCCTCTCCAGTTGGCAAAAATAAAGAGAGGCAGATCTTCCTTGTTGAAATCTAGAATGGCCTGTGCGGTTTTGTAAGCCGAATCGGGGAACCACACCTGTCCTGCCTGAGACACCACCTGCAAAATTTGAATATTTTAAACGTTAGAAAAACAATGGAAAATTCTATTTTTGGGCCGTAATTTTGGGGGCGGAAAGTACCTTGGCTTCGGAATCGAGATTTGCTGGATCGGCCGGGATGTCTATCTCCACGGTTCTCGTCTCCACCGCGATGACGCCCACCGGAATGCCTCCCAGTCTGGCTCTTCCGCAAACCACGGTCTTGGCCCAAGTCTGCATCACTTCCATGAACGAACCGTGGTCGAAGAATCCGTCCTCCCAAAATCCAGAAAGAGCTGCGTGCGCGTGACGTCGTTTATTAATTAAAATAATTTAACGTAGATAATTATTTCGCAAAGAAAAGCATTTTTACTTACTGGGACTCTCTCTTCCCGCCAGTAACCATCTGGGATCGTAAGGAGCGCGAGCTGGCATGTAAATAACGTCTCTGTCGATGGAATCTAATGATTCTATTACGGGTAATTCCGCTCCTCTTTTCTGATTTTTTTAAAAAAATTGTGTTTTTAATAAAGGGAAGAAAACTCTTGTAAAAAATATATATAAAAATTCAATCTTTATTGAATCTAAAAATGATAAGATTCAGATAATTAGATTTTTTATTCTACAGCGACAACCTGTAAGTAAATATACGCTCCATACTTTAGGTCACCGTCTTTTATTGCACGGTGTCCACGTGACACAAATGCCATGTGTACATATTAAAACCTCAAAGCTTTAATTTGGTTGAGCTTGAAATCAACTGGTTCTGTTATCTTCGCCCGTGGAATGTTGACCCGCTCAGTATGCAACCCATCTAAAAGTTCAGTATGCAACCCATCTAAATAAATTCAAAAATTTTTCGAAAATAATTACTTAAAAGTAATTAAGATGTTCTTCCTCCCCATCCCCTTTTATTTCACTGTACTGTATAACATATCAAACTTCCTGATAAACATACAATGAAAGCCTTTACACCTTGTTTTTAACCAGTTTTTATTGGTTTGAAAGTTTTCATGTTTTTACTACGTTTATTAGTAAATTTTTTCTACATTTTAACCAGAATATTTTTATTTTTACAGATAAACTCTCTTATTATTTTTTAACATTTTATTATATTTATTTNAAAAAAAAAAAAAAAAAAAATCAATAGAACAATCCTTCATATTTAAAGTATTAAACAACAATAATATTTTCAGTGAAAATGAATTTATTTTTATTTACAAAACAAAGATATTTAGATATCATAATCAATATAATAAAATTTTTCAATGTGCAATTTCAAATTGAAAAAAGTAAAAGTTAAAATTATACCTGCTGAAACATATCTGGAAAATCATAAACATAGGTTGTTCCATTTGACTGAGCCTGAAATCTCTTCAGTTGTAAATAATCTTTGGTCATGTATGGTGTCGACACAGGTAAATCATGTAGTGGCCCCTGTTTGGGTCCCCAAGATTCAAATTTAATGTGTCCCGTGACTGGATCAGCAACTTCTTTGTACAAATTCATGTCTAAAAAATACCCACTTTCATTTGCCAGGGCAAGTCTTATGGGTATACATTTTCCCGTAGGAGTTAATCTAATAGTCATTTTTATTTCTGCCTGCAATACCCTGAGTTTCCACAATCTTGGTCCATATCTCATAACCATTGCTCTTACATTCTCTGCAATCTGTGAATATTAAATAAATAAATTTTAAGTGACCATTTTATTTATTTAATAACTAGTTTCATGAAATCACAAAAATATATGTATTTTTAATTCATTAGTATTTTCTTATATAGTATTACCAATAAAAATAATAAAATAAAGACTGAAGAAAGGCATAAAGCCCAAAATGCATATCTGTTGTAAATAACAGCAAATAAAAATCTACTTTTGTCATCAAGAGGAGTGTTCCTGTATGATTTGTTCTCAATAGCAACTTTATGCTAACTTCCAAAGAGCATACAATGTTTATTAATAGTGTTTACTTTTAGAATCTTGGCCAGATAAAATAAATATTTTGAAAATAATACCTTTGGGATGTATGACAGCCATTTTAACATGATGTAAGTTCCTTCCAGATCGTCCGGTGCAGTTATGTGAGAAACTCCATTGTGGTGCATTATCTGAATGCCTCCTAACTGATTGTTTGACGTGTACACTTCTCGACCCAATAACTAAAATCGAAAACAGTACAAAATATGTCATTTTTGAAAGAGAGTACTAAATTATTTCAGCAAAATGAAAATTACTTTATTTAAAGCCCCAGCACCAGTCAAGATTATATGTGAATTTTCTACTTGTATGACTCTCTGTCCTAAACGAACTAGATATGCTCCAATACCAATAGCTCTGCATGTGACCTATTCCAAAACAATTTCTAATATTAACAAATTATATAATATATATAGATAGTTTCATGTCAGTTACTGTTCAAGTAATATACCAAGCTTATGGTAACAATCTCTTTATAAGCCTGAGAGCTCTCTCCTGCAATCATTCCAGCATATCGCAAATTTTCGACACCTATTCCTTCCTGTCTTCCTGTGTAATTAATATAATAGATAATTACTTTGTAAAAATTATTGAAATTAAATTCCATAATATAAGTTCAAAGAATTACCTATAATAGTTGTTATTTTATATCTTGTTTCTCCTTCATCTTCTATCAGTTCTGTTTTAACTGCATTTAATGCACTGACTTTTTTGAAGTTTTCAGGAGTGAGGTACAAATATTTATAACCCTAAAATTGTAATAGTATTACTAAAACAATATAACTATGGCATTCTAGTAGCTTTACCGAAAATATTTACTTTATCGGGTACATCTGGATCAACCCAAGCAATCTGAAACAGTGGCTTAATTTCCTCTGCCAATCCTATTCGAGCTCCGCTATTTGCCGAAATGTACAGACGAGGTATTCCTAGAGCCCGAGCTTTCTCTGATGCCCTCTAAACAAACATAAATTATATATTTAAAACTTAATACTATAAATATTTATTATAATGAAAATCATAACGTTTTAGATTTATATGTGAATTAAAAAAAAAAATTAACCAAAATAATTTTAAATAAAATTATTCTAATAAAAATAATGTAAATTTTATTGTAACATATATGTAGAAGAATTATGTTAGCTTATTTATAGGATAAAATTATTGAAGGATGTAGAGCAGTGATTCTCAACTGGTGTTCTGTAAAACACGGGTGTTTGAAAACTTGCCTCCACTGTTCCACAAAAAAAAAAAAAAAAAATTGAAGAAGTTTTTATTGTGAGTTTATTCCAGTGCACTATAACATATTACTTTATTCATAGACAATTCTATTTTTCTAATTCTATACAATAAAGTTTATTAGTTTATTGCTTCATTGTTTTGTGAAAATAGTTAACATGGAATTCTTATCAATTTTTGAATATATTGATACTAATAGATATTAATGCTAATTGCATAATAAGAAGTATGTGAATGGTGTTCTATGGCTCCAGAAAGGTTGAGAACCACTGATGTAGAGTGATAAAATATTCCCAGGAATATTACAAAATCTTTAGCAAAATCTAGATGAAAAAAGACAATATAAAAAACTCATTTAAATTATCAGATGTAGATATTTTACACAAAACTAGTCTGTCTATGGAAAAAATTGACTTGGGTATTAACCAATGAGCATCACTCATTGATCACTTAGTTGTGGCAAGTTACTTCTGGTTTCTTCTTCATTTTTTAAACACATCTCCATCATTATAAACAGTATTATGGAAACTTCATGTTCTGGTACTGGAATATGAGGAAGTTTGCTACTGTAGTAGTTAAACATATAATTCTTTACAATTAATGAAATCTATAAAAAATTAACACAATTAATGGAAAAGTTGTTCTGCCATCTAGTGAGAGAAAATAAAATAAAATTCACATATTGCTGGACATATTAAGTGAAAAGTGCTGACATCATTAGGAAATGTGCTGATTGGTTTAACTCAGTGTTTCTCAACCTCTAACGAATTGTCACTCCCTTCAACATAGTATCGCCCCCTTCACTTCAAAATTCCAATGCCGAGGCCAAGGCTAATGCCAAATTCGAACTGCATTGAATAGACTAGTGACTAGTATAATGTTATTTGTTTAATTATTGTATGATATAACAAATAAAATATCTAATTATTCTTAATATAATGTTTACTATATTAGTATAAATGAAGATATAAAATTTGATATAGAATTTGAAAAAGAGAATAAAATTAATTTTTTAGATATAACAATAAAAAATGAAAATGTGATAAATTTTCGTTTAAAACTTATAAAAAAACCATCCAACGTAAATAAAACAATAAACTACCACTCTTATATACCAGATACTGTAAAAAAGAATACATATATAATGGAGTTAAAAAATATACACACAAGAACTACCAACGAAAAGGACCGAAAAATTGAATTAAATGAATTAGAACAAAAATTCATTCTGAACAATTATCCCAAGAAAACTTTAAAAATTTGGAAAACACAGTATTATAAAAATAGATTTAATATAAAAAATAAAAAAGACAAAACATATATAGCCTTCCCATACATCACTAATATTTATGATAATTGTAATAAAATGCTTAAAAAAGAGAATGTAGTCTTGACCCCAACTTTGACCAACAAAATTTCACATAAAATACACATTAATAAATTAAAAACATATAAAACTAATAGTGACATATTGAAAAAACAGGTGCAGTCTATAAAATCAACTGTAATTGCCAAAATCCAAAAAATTATATAGGTGAAACAGGACATGCTTTAGAAATACAGATCAAAGAACATGAAGCAGCCATTCGATTAAAATATAACAACTCCCCTTGGTATAATCATATTAAAAATAGTAACTGTAATATTGATAGAAATAATATTAAAATCCTACACGAGGAGAAAAATATATATAAAAGAAAATTTAAAGAACATATTGAAATCGTAAGACGTACTAGCAATAATCTTGTAAATATCTCTAATGGAATGCAAATTGAACAGCAATGGTACGAAATTATAGAGGGCGTAACAATAAACCAGTGAATTGTTTGTAAAACCTAAACACCAAATGTTGTAAAAGTTATTGTGTATGGATTACCATTCGTGAATTTATATGACACATAACTAGTGTTCAAAATAATATTTTTCAAGTGATATTGAAGAGAAAACTTGTATGTATATTTTTTGTAAGAAATTTTTTTTTTAGATTTTTTTAAAAAACTTACTTATTACTGGGTTTATGATTGTACTTTTATTTTTAGCAATATTTGCTAAAAATAAAATATTTTACACACAGAACTATTGATTTAATAGAATATTTTCAAAAAATATAAAAGAGGAAATAAACCTGTATGTATATTTTTGTTAAAGAAAATTAAAAAAAATTTTTTTTTAAAAAAGTTTTTATATTAATTATTTGTAAATAAGTTCTATGATTGTATTATTATTATTTATAGCGATATTGTTTAATCATATTACAGTTTACGCCAAGAATGATAATTTCATATGTTAAATACAAGTACCGTATGAATGTAACTCGGGGAAAAAGAAGTGTGTAAAGTTCTTAAAGATACTGGTAATAATGTTTCCATTGTGTCATTTGACATCTCTACTCATTTTAATTTTTAATTTGTATTTTTTTCAACTCAATATCTGTAATTGTAATTCTAAAGCACTGAAGAGGAACTGGAAAATGAAACCAGTTTGAAATGCATATGAATTGAAAATACAATAAAAGAGTTTCTTGACCTGACTTGCTGTAAGATAGTCTACTGAGAGAAATATTTTCGGATTAAAGAGACAACCATTCCCTGAACAAATATACAGCTACAATTAGTAAATTCAACATTTGATTCTTTCCATTCACAGACTATAGTCAGGAATAGAAAAAATAATTAAATATTATTATAGTTGTAAACCAAGAGACAACCTTGATAATAATGGTAATTTTAATATTATCTGTTAATAAATGTATATATTATTGCTATTCTTTAACATTCATTATGATCATTCAGGAACAAATAAGTACTGACCAAAAACAATAAATCCTCCCTAGGTGCAAATGTTCCTATCATATGAGTTATATCGTTACAAATAACAATTACATCTCGCCCTTCAGGATATTCAGGTGTCATCATTGTTATTTTCCATGCGACCATACCAATCTACATATAAAAAAGAAGCAATACATTAAATTATATGACAATGAATAAGTGAATTTTGGATTTTACTACTCACATCATTCTCTCCTGGTATCCTTTTCTGTTCTACAAGTTGACCTTTGCTGTCTAATACTAACTCTACTTGTCGCATCAACTGGGCAGGTATTTCTACTTCTGGTCTGCGCATTGTATATTCTTCCCAAAGACGGTTAAGAGCCTAGATTTGAGTAATACAGATGTTATACAATGTATGCAAAAAAACATTTCTTTATTTGCTATAATATGTATATTTTTATTTTTATTTATAAACATTATAAAATGTATGCCAGTAAAAGAGTGATAAAGATGATGGTCTAAGAAAGCAAAGGAAAAGGAGATTGAGGCACAAGGTGAAGGTAAAAGCAGAAATTTGTTGAAGGAGAAGCAGATAAGCAGTATTAAACAAATCTACCATGTAAGAAAATATTTTACTTTAATTTGATATATAATGTATTTGAATTACATACAGTATATAAAATCATCCCAAGCGTTTCTAGAAAATTCAAGATCAATCATAAGCATGTTCAACATAAAACTAAACAAAGACAAAAGATTAGTTCCTACTAAGAGCAAGATTTCCTGCTAGGTGGGTATGTGATTTATTTATTAGAGTTTATTCATTTACTTTTTGTTTATTAAAATTGTGTGTTATATTTGCAATTTTATTTAGGAAAAACGTTTTCTTTAACTTTACTTAAAACTATTGATATTTTCTATTAAAAAAAAAAAGTGTAATAAATTTCTGAGCAGTATATTACTGAATATATTTTAAAAAGAACTTTCTTATAATGGAAATTTTTAAAGTGTTTTAATTGAAACTGATTGTTTAAAAACTATTAAATAACACTATTAAAATAAAAAGATTTTAGAAGTTTTTATTGAGACTACTTTAATGTTTACGATTTCGATTCTTTGTTTGAAAAATAAACAATTTTCCATTAAATTTATAAAATCAATTAAATAAAATAAAAAAATTAAATAATAATATTCAATGATTATTTGACTCTCAGAAATATTCATTTGTAAAATATGATATTTCAGATTTTTGAGATGTAGAATTGTGTTTATTTTNAAAAAAAAAAAAAAAAAAAAAAAAAAAAAAAAAAAAAAAAAAAAAAAAAAAAAAAAAAAAAAAAAAAAAAAAAAAAAAAAAAAAAAAAAAAAAAAAAAAAAAAAAAAAAAAAAAAAAAAAAAAAAAAAAAAAAAAAAAAAAAAAAAAAAAAAAAAAAAAAAAAAAAAAAAAAAAAAAAAAAAAAAAAAAAAAAAAAAAAAAAAAAAAAAAAAAAAAAAAAAAAAAAAAAAAAAAAAAAAAAAAAAAAAAAAAAAAAAAAAAAAAAAAAAAAAAAAAAAAAAAAAAAAAAAAAAAAAAAAAAAAAAAAAAAAAAAAAAAAAAAAAAAAAAAAAAAAAAAAAAAAAAAAAAAAAAAAAAAAAAAAAAAAAAAAAAAAAAAAAAAAAAAAAAAAAAAAAAAAAAAAAAAAAAAAAAAAAAAAAAAAAAAAAAAAAAAAAAAAAAAAAAAAAAAAAAAAAAAAAAAAAAAAAAAAAAAAAAAAAAAAAAAAAAAAAAAAAAAAAAAAAAAAAAAAAAAAAAAAAAAAAAAAAAAAAAAAAAAAAAAAAAAAAAAAAAAAAAAAAAAAAAAAAAAAAAAAAAAAAAAAAAAAAAAAAAAAAAAAAAAAAAAAAAAAAAAAAAAAAAAAAAAAAAAAAAAAAAAAAAAAAAAAAAAAAAAAAAAAAAAAAAAAAAAAAAAAAAAAAAAAAAAAAAAAAAAAAAAAAAAAAAAAAAAAAAAAAAAAAAAAAAAAAAAAAAAAAAAAAAAAAAAAAAAAAAAAAAAAAAAAAATCAATAGAACAATCCTTCATATTTAAAGTATTAAACAACAATAATATTTTCAGTGAAAATGAATTTATTTTTATTTACAAAACAAAGATATTTAGATATCATAATCAATATAATAAAATTTTTCAATGTGCAATTTCAAATTGAAAAAAGTAAAAGTTAAAATTATACCTGCTGAAACATATCTGGAAAATCATAAACATAGGTTGTTCCATTTGACTGAGCCTGAAATCTCTTCAGTTGTAAATAATCTTTGGTCATGTATGGTGTCGACACAGGTAAATCATGTAGTGGCCCCTGTTTGGGTCCCCAAGATTCAAATTTAATGTGTCCCGTGACTGGATCAGCAACTTCTTTGTACAAATTCATGTCTAAAAAATACCCACTTTCATTTGCCAGGGCAAGTCTTATGGGTATACATTTTCCCGTAGGAGTTAATCTAATAGTCATTTTTATTTCTGCCTGCAATACCCTGAGTTTCCACAATCTTGGTCCATATCTCATAACCATTGCTCTTACATTCTCTGCAATCTGTGAATATTAAATAAATAAATTTTAAGTGACCATTTTATTTATTTAATAACTAGTTTCATGAAATCACAAAAATATATGTATTTTTAATTCATTACTCTTAAATGTTGTTATTTTGCATACAGCAAATGAATTTTATTATTTCATTAATTATAAAAAACAAATAACAATCAATATTTTAAAAAATATTATAGTATATCCTTAATATCAAGTAATTAATCTAAAGGATCTTTACTTAATCTTATTTAAAAATTACCTTGGCAGGATCCATGGTAACTTTTGGTACAAAATTTAAAAATATGTGATTACAATCTGTTCTGAGAGCCTGGAAAAAACAATTGTGAAGTTACATAAAATTTACTCTAATATTTCAATATGATATTTTCATATAAATTTACTGTGTATTATAAAAAAAATGTAATTGTAAACATAATTTTGACTATCAGATAATTTGACTTAAGCTGTTATGAGATTTGTATCTATTACTTTTATTAACAGAATTAGTACAGAATTAAATTTAGTGTAATACAAATTTAAATTAGTGTAAGACAATTAGTAAAAAATTAAATTTTTAAATAGTAATAATTTTTATAACACTACAAAATAAGCAGTTTCATGTAATTATTGGCAATATTTTTGACATTTGTTTATGATTTATCACTAAATTTAATTCTAATCAACAAATCTTAAGACAATTATAAAAAAATAATCTAATGTTAATTCATGAATGAATTCTGTTGAGATAACAACAATTATAAAGATGTTTAAGAAAATTGAAAATCATTAAATTTAATCTTAATAAAAACTTGAATAAATTTTATATAAATTTAAAATAAAAACCTACAAGTGTATGAGTGAAAGCCACTTCTAATTCATCCATAGCTTCTAGCAACAATCTCTCTCCTTCATTTTGTAAATATTCATAAGAAGCTTCCTAAAAATAAAAACATTAATTCATTATTATTTCACTAATATTAGGTGTTATTTATATAAAGTTTACAGTTATGTTTTAATTACCTTTGTGATTAGATCTGAATGCCTAATGATAGATCGAANAAAAACAAAAAAAAAAAAAAAAAAAAAAAAAATCAATAGAACAATCCTTCATATTTAAAGTATTAAACAACAATAATATTTTCAGTGAAAATGAATTTATTTTTATTTACAAAACAAAGATATTTAGATATCATAATCAATATAATAAAATTTTTCAATGTGCAATTTCAAATTGAAAAAAGTAAAAGTTAAAATTATACCTGCTGAAACATATCTGGAAAATCATAAACATAGGTTGTTCCATTTGACTGAGCCTGAAATCTCTTCAGTTGTAAATAATCTTTGGTCATGTATGGTGTCGACACAGGTAAATCATGTAGTGGCCCCTGTTTGGGTCCCCAAGATTCAAATTTAATGTGTCCCGTGACTGGATCAGCAACTTCTTTGTACAAATTCATGTCTAAAAAATACCCACTTTCATTTGCCAGGGCAAGTCTTATGGGTATACATTTTCCCGTAGGAGTTAATCTAATAGTCATTTTTATTTCTGCCTGCAATACCCTGAGTTTCCACAATCTTGGTCCATATCTCATAACCATTGCTCTTACATTCTCTGCAATCTGTGAATATTAAATAAATAAATTTTAAGTGACCATTTTATTTATTTAATAACTAGTTTCATGAAATCACAAAAATATATGTATTTTTAATTCATTACTCTTAAATGTTGTTATTTTGCATACAGCAAATGAATTTTATTATTTCATTAATTATAAAAAACAAATAACAATCAATATTTTAAAAAATATTATAGTATATCCTTAATATCAAGTAATTAATCTAAAGGATCTTTACTTAATCTTATTTAAAAATTACCTTGGCAGGATCCATGGTAACTTTTGGTACAAAATTTAAAAATATGTGATTACAATCTGTTCTGAGAGCCTGGAAAAAACAATTGTGAAGTTACATAAAATTTACTCTAATATTTCAATATGATATTTTCATATAAATTTACTGTGTATTATAAAAAAAATGTAATTGTAAACATAATTTTGACTATCAGATAATTTGACTTAAGCTGTTATGAGATTTGTATCTATTACTTTTATTAACAGAATTAGTACAGAATTAAATTTAGTGTAATACAAATTTAAATTAGTGTAAGACAATTAGTAAAAAATTAAATTTTTAAATAGTAATAATTTTTATAACACTACAAAATAAGCAGTTTCATGTAATTATTGGCAATATTTTTGACATTTGTTTATGATTTATCACTAAATTTAATTCTAATCAACAAATCTTAAGACAATTATAAAAAAATAATCTAATGTTAATTCATGAATGAATTCTGTTGAGATAACAACAATTATAAAGATGTTTAAGAAAATTGAAAATCATTAAATTTAATCTTAATAAAAACTTGAATAAATTTTATATAAATTTAAAATAAAAACCTACAAGTGTATGAGTGAAAGCCACTTCTAATTCATCCATAGCTTCTAGCAACAATCTCTCTCCTTCATTTTGTAAATATTCATAAGAAGCTTCCTAAAAATAAAAACATTAATTCATTATTATTTCACTAATATTAGGTGTTATTTATATAAAGTTTACAGTTATGTTTTAATTACCTTTGTGATTAGATCTGAATGCCTAATGATAGATCGAATAAAAAATCTGAAATCTGTGACTTCTTGTCCTTTAGCAACCTAAACATTAAAAAAAAATATTATAAAAATGTTACGCTTAGTGATTCATTTATTTCCTATTAGTTATTTAAAAATCTTTTCCAGCAAACTTTATTGAAATATTTCAAAATAGTTTTTATTTTAATTTATTGTAAGGTATTTTTACAACTAAAAATTATCTATTCATTACCCAAAATTAATACTTATTCAAGTAAAGTAATTGAAATAAATAATAAAATCAAAATTACACAATTACCTTTGCTCTACCTAAATATAAATGCATTTTTTGATTTGCCGTAGGTATAGCTTCCAGATTATAATTACGAAGTCTGTTTATCTCCAACTGAAAAGCGAGAGCTGGCTCCAGATGACGATATATAGTATCTTCTTGAAACTGGAAAGATTTGCAAAGTATTATTAAAAGTATTAATAAATTACATTTATACTTAATTATTATAAATCACACATTATACTTACATCATTTCTAGCTCTGAAAGTGAAATACTTTGGAAAATGATGCTGTAATAAAAGAAAATGACATTTATATATATAATATAAATAACAACCCAATTTATTTGTATTGTCAGATGATTCACCAGATTATCAATTGAATTATTTTATGGCTACTAAATGAATTAAATTCAAATCAATTTGGCTAAAAGTAGACAATTACACTATCATGTCATGTTAAATTTAATAATTATAAACTAATTAATTTTAATTTAAATATTTCTGGAGGAAAAGAACTGGCCCAGTGTGAGACTTGACATGTAACTCTTGCTTAATGTGCAGATGCATTGCCAGTTATGTATCTGCATGGTAAGCATTTACTAGCGATGGGGTAATTAATTTAAATCAGAAAAATTGGACATTTTCCAAGTATCAGAATTGAGAAAATCTCGTCATGATTTCAGATTTTTAAAACGATTCTTCCAGATTTTATAATAAAATTATTTGTTTGTATACTCCAGCCTCCTCCTCTTTTTTTAGTTTGTCTTTATCATTTCTCAGTAAGTTGTAAATATTACTTTTATAAATTTTCCTCAAGTTTTTGTAAGTTGCCAGCTCATTTATTCCTCCCAGCTATTTGTTGTATGTAAATTAATTGTTTCTTTTGATTTAAATTTATTTTAATTTTTTAGTAATTTCATTCATTTTTGTTTCATAAATTTGTCTGCTTTTTAAAAATTTTAATTATAAGCAAGTTAACATTGATTGAACTATCAGGCTATCAAGTTTCAAATCAAGTCTGATGGTTGGCAAAACAGTTTAAAATGTAAACAAAATTATATTTGAATTGAAACAATATTATATAAAACTGTTTTTAATATTTAGTATGTTTACTTATAATGATAAAACGATCTTCTCATTATAATTATAAAAGTTTTTATAATGATTCACAGATGTGCTGTTATACATTAAATTTTCAAATGAGATTTGCACAATTCTGAATAAAAATACTTGTTTATGCTATTTAATCCTGTTTTGAGTTTTAAAAATTGATTTTTCAAGACAAGTCAGTCTAGATATTTGTGACTCAAGTGAATGAACTCAAAAATTAATTAACTCGTAACAACAATATTTATTCAGCTCATTTGCCAAATCTCATTTAGTATTCAATATGATGGAGTTAAATCATTTACAAGACATGCCAAGTATGAGAAGCATGAAAAAAAATATATCTTTTCATTTATCTTCCCCTCCCTGTGGTCATCATGTTGGCTAATGAAGCAGTTTTCAAAGATGGCAACCTGACATGACACAATAGAATAGTTCTTCAAGTATAAGTGATTAGTTGTAATTTCTTTCAGAGTAGTGTTGCAATATTAGCTTTATCCAAAATAAGATTACAAATTTATTTTGTAGTACACAATAAAAACATGCATATCCACTTATAAACAGAGAATTTTCATGTTTCATTCGAAAGATTTATTCTGATTTCCCAATTGTTTTCCATTCATCAGCTTAATGTTTATTAATTAATGAATGTACCTTGCTTGTAGTGTAAATCGTTAATGTTTCTAAACTAAAATAAACTTTAGAAAGTATTGTATTCAAAAGAATCAGAATGAGGAATCTTATCAGAATCAGGAAAAATTTTGGTATCATCCCATCACTAGCATTTACATAAATTGCAAATTTACTTATCTTATGATACTATTAGAAATTAATGAAAAAAGTATTTCATTGAAGCACTATGGCTAAACAATTCAGTAATAGTCTGCTGTAGATATTAAAAGAAATAACTGAATAAGTTTCCATGATAAAACAGAATTAACGGTTTTAATTTTTTGTTTCTGAAGAATAACATTCAAATCCTTCTAATACTTCTTTAAATAAGAATATTCTAAGTAAACAATCATATAGAATTCATTTAGTTTCAAATAAGTAAAAATTATTATATGGTAAGAAATACAAAAATTGTTCACACATATACAATTTTCTCATTAAATAAGAAGTGAGAAAATAATCTTAACTATTATCTTAGTTAAATAACTTTTCTCTTATTTCTGAATTTTGAATGCAATTCTTACTCTATAATATCACAATAAAAAAAATTGATCTTGAAATTTATATTTCACAGACTTCTATATTCCTAAAATTTGAAATTTTAACATTACTATTCACACTTCAAAAAAAATTAAATATGTACTTACACGATGTAATACAAGAAAAGTTATTCTTCTGACCATCTTTTTCTTCAATGTTTCTTTCTATAAATAACAAATATTAAAAAAAGTTATTTGTAGTCTCTCTCACGGCCNTTTTAAAAAATTCTTAAGATTATAAGAGTCTACTTAAATTAACAAACAACAAGCTGTTTAAAATTAATTTTAATGTTTGTTCAGAAATATTAAATTTAATATGATAAAACAGAATTAGTATACTAAAAATTATCATGTTAAAGAAATAATATAAAAAAATAGAAAAAACGTTCATGTATTATATAAATGTGTTTTCTGTTCATTTGCATAAAATATTCAGAATTAGTTTTATAAAAAATCATTTCCATTGAAGACACAAGAAATTTTTTAATTTTTGATTTGATTTAAATCAAATTTAATCAGTTGTTTTTAAAAAATATTAATTTTGTATAGAATATATCTATGCAATATGCTTTATAAAAATTTTAATCTAAAATTGCTACTTGTAGAAAAAGAATAAGAGATTTCCTTACATAAAAAAAAGATAAATGCAATATAATTTTTAAAATATGTTGAAAAAGTATTAAAATATAATTATTGTAAATATACAGAGTAATAGATAACTAATGTATTCATGCATTAAAAGTAAAAAACCAAAAATATTAGTTATGAATATTTTTGACTGTAATAACACTTATGAATTAGGATTCAACTAATGTTAAGAGATTCATTAACTATATATTAACTGGACATATTCATTCATTCTTTTTTTTATTCTGTATCTTCTTTATAACATAAATGTAATAATAAAGTAAAATTTCAGTTCTGTATAGAAAGTTCCAAGTTGAAAGAAGAATGAATAGATTTTATAATTTTATAATATATAAATCAGTTATAAGAATGTTTTGTTTATCTTTAAACAATGAATTATTTATTTATTTATTTACTACAAATTTTTTAAAACTTGTTACAATATTCATATTATCAAAACACAAGTAGTATTATTTAGAAATTGCATATCCCTGAAATATTATAAAATAAAATTCACAATTAACACAACAAAATGGATCATGAGAACATAAAAACTGCTCTCTGAAGATGAATATATCTAGACTTATTATTATTATTGAAAATCCATTAATTAACTATTAAATTTTAATTTTATTATTAGATAAAGAATAGGAAATGAAAGTTCTAAATATTTATTTATTCTTATTTAATTTGTAAATTTATCATTTTAATAATAAAACTTTTATATTTCATTTCATATTCTGACCATAAATGTTTTGAATATTTTTTCCTGTTATTTCTTAAACTACTGAAAATATTTCAGAAATTACATGAACATTATTAAAATTATTCATTAACATATTGTTATTATAGTATTCATATAAATATTAATAATAATATTCAGATAGAACTTACTTGTCCTGCACAAAATTCTGTAAACATTTTGCTATATGTACTATCATCCTCTTCATTTTTCATAAATATAGCAACATTCAGAATATGCATAGGATCATCAATCTAAACAAAATTAAAATAATGTAATACATATCACTACAGCAGCATATAAACAATTAAACAAACAAAAGATTGAACTTATGCCATTTTACCAAACACCTTAAGAGTATGATATGAACATAGAATATAGAAATATATCAATAAATATATCATACATTGATAAATATCATATTTCGATAAATATAGAATGATATAAATAAAATTTACATCATGTTATTTAACAACATCTGTAACTTAACATTGAACTACATATAAATGATATTAGTTAGGAAACATACTGATATGAAGATATTTTAGTGGTTTAAACTTTATATAATAAACAGATTTTTATGTATAAATATATTAAGAAAGTTCTAAAACAATATTAATTAGTAATTTTAATAAATAATAGTTAAATACCTTAATTGCTTCACTGTCACTAATAACAGAAACAGATCTTTCTCTTGTAGTAAAATCAGTGTCTAAAAGACGAGGACTTGGAGGTAACGACTGACCAAGAAGAGCAATTAAATGTTCAAAATTCCTTTAAAAATTTTTAAATAAACTTGTTACGAATTGAAGCTGTTTAATTTTAAAATAACTTATAATTATTGCCTTACTGTACAAATTCGTCAAAATTCTGAAATGCAGCAATGACTCCCATTCTTTGACAATTCTCCATACTAAAATCAGAATTCATCCCTTCCTCATCCCTCGAGACAGTATGAGGCAAAGGATTTGATTCTGTCGTACGATTATGAAGCATTCTAGAAATAAATACAATTTTAAAAACTAATTTCTCTAATTATTGACAAACTAAATTCAATAAGAAAAACACCTGTTAGGATGAGACGTAGGAAGAAGAAACTGGAACTGAGCTGCACAAATACCAGATATCAGACACATGTGTTGAAGGCATGTTAGATCGTACGAAATATATGCTCTTCTCACATAAACCTAAAATAAACTCATTATTTAAGTAATTAAATTTAATATTTTTTTTCTAATTTATTAAATAAAATAGTTCTCACTTCTAAAGCAGCTCTTCTCACAATTATATTCGAATGTTAATGGTAAAAGAAATCTTGCAATACATCAAATATAGACGTTTCTGACATAATTAATTTCTGAAGATTTTCTGGACAGAAATCATGCCCATACATATCAATAGCAGATAAAAAGATGCTTTCCATTTGATTGTGGCGCAATTCATATGCAGGTTGATGTGCTGCAATTAATACCTAATACACAAATAATTATTTTTAAATATGAAATTTTGATTAAAATTATCCAAAATTTTTTAAAGCTTAAATTCATAAATATTTCTTTAAAAAAAAAGTGGTTTTACATAAATATTTTTAAATGTATAAGAATATAATTTTAATAATAGTATTAATTCACATTGATTTTAAAACTACTGTTACATATGTTGCAAAGTTAAGTAATTATACCTGTCTTGCTCTAAGAGCAACCTTAGCATTTTCAACTTTATTTAAACTCGTCAGATCATTTAAAATGATGGCCAGTTCATCAGTTAATCCTGGTTCATGACCACATAAATGGTTCTATATTAATAAAAGAAAAAGAACTTAAATAATTTTATAAATTTTCCCAATAATTTTACTGCAATTTTACTTACAATAAGATTTATGACAAGTTGATTCTTTTTTGCAACTTGGAGATGGGAAAATATCTTGCTGACAACAGCTCCCATATTATCTTTATGTTTTTCTCTTAAGAGAGAGACACATTTATCATAATGCCCTAGAAAATAAAAATAACATAATTAAATTCAAATATAAAAGTTGTTACTGTTAAAAATGAACTCATATTTATCAAACATAATTACCGGATTGAAATTCTCTTTCTACGGCTAAATATTGTTTCAGTAAATCCTGGACGACGACTTTCATTCGACCTCTAATGCCATTTCTATATCTCTGCACTAACTGAACAATGCCCTGAGTTGTCATGAAGAAAACATCTCTATCTGATCGTTTATGTAATAATGCGGCATAACTGTCTATAACACTGGCTATCTAACATAACATGAATAGAAAAAAATTATTTTAGATTAAGAATCTACTTAAATTTAATGAGAAAATTATAAGTTTAGATTATTATATGAAATTTTTATTATTTATTATAATTCATTTATTGCCAGATTTTATTAATATATTCATTATTAGAATTTAAATATTATAAAATCAAATTTTAGAGTAAAAAACTTGGTATAATGTTTAATTATTTACTAATTTACTTGTTTAAACATTTACTATGTAAATAATAATCTTGTTTTGAATATATAAATATATTGAGATCCTGTAAAAATTTTTTTAAATAAATATTTTACTTGAAATTGTTGTTATAATTATTTACTGTGAAAATATAGAATAAAATATAATAGCAAAAGTATGTTTGCTATTATATTTTATTACACTGAAATAAATTCTGTATTTCTATTTATGTATACTATATTAATTAATGTTTATCCAATTTATTCAATATATTTTAAAGATGTCATCTGCATATTAAGTTACATGAATAGATTTTAACTTTCTAGTTTAGTTTATAAATTCATGAATAATCAAAATTTGTTTCTTGCTTTTATTATGTTTTCATATATCCTACATCAGATACATGTTTATCAAAATCATAATTACATGAAATTCTGATATATTTAATCAAGATAAAAATAATATTTAAATTATTAAAATTAAATAAACAAAACTAAAGTTCAATGCTGAAAGTTTTTTCTGTTTTATAAAATGGCTTAGCAACATATTCAGCAGCAATACTTGAAATCATGAATCTTTGCAATATCATGATTGATTACATGTTTAATTCTGTGTAATATATATATATATATATTTTGTCAATAAAATCTGTGTTACATTTATTTACTACTGTGAATTTTATCTCAAACATTTCAAATAATCCAAAATTACAAATTATGTAGATTTATCTGGACCCATTGAATCCAGATAAATGAATTTGTACTGTATTCACTTTTGTATTCTCTCTATTGATGTACTCACCTGTTGACTTGGAAACTGAGCTAGAACAGAGGTTATGTTGCTAGAATACATATTCATTAACTTTTTAATATTTTTTTCCACATTTACTGGTATTCTTCCAGAAATTGATGATATAATCTCCTATAAAATAGAAATGAATTCAATTTGTAGAAGAAAGTAAAATAATAAATCATGTAATATAATTAAAATGCAACTTATGTTCTGAATTTTACTATTAAATCTATAATAAAATTAGTTGTATTTAATTACAGAAGGGTTTGGGTTCTTACAAATTTAAAAAATTATTTCATAATTCAACTAACTTGTAATTCTAGAAGAGGCAGGCTTGGATCTCTCAGAGTTTCCATTAAAGTGTTGACAGCTTTTATCATCCTTGGAACATAATGTGGATCAGGTAATACATATCCAGCCAAAATATTTTCTAATTCGGCTCGTGATGACTGAAAAACTTGATTCTTTTTACTAGCCGACAAATTTCCTTCATCTGCAGCAGGGAATTCGCCTTCAAAAAGTTTGGCCTGAAAGCAATTATTCAATAAATATCCTAGTTTTGAAAAATTATAACATATATTTAATGAATTAAGCTTACTTTATTAACACGTGAAGGATCATCTAACTCTAAATGAGCAAGAATGCTTCCTGCCTCCAGAACAGCACCAGGTCGTTTTGTAAAATTTATGCTGTAATCAACAACAAATTATTATTATGAATGCTTCAGTAAAATATAATTATGATAAAGATTATTACATCTTTATATTTGTATTGTCAGATGATTCACCAGATTATCAATTGAATTATTTTATGGCTACTAAATGAATTAAATTCAAATCAATTTGGCTAAAAGTAGACAATTACACTATCATGTCATGTTAAATTTAATAATTATAAACTAATTAATTTTAATTTAAATATTTCTGGAGGAAAAGAACTGGCCCAGTGTGAGACTTGACATGTAACTCTTGCTTAATGTGCAGATGCATTGCCAGTTATGTATCTGCATGGTAAGCATTTACTAGCGATGGGGTAATTAATTTAAATCAGAAAAATTGGACATTTTCCAAGTATCAGAATTGAGAAAATCTCGTCATGATTTCAGATTTTTAAAACGATTCTTCCAGATTTTATAATAAAATTATTTGTTTGTATACTCCAGCCTCCTCCTCTTTTTTTAGTTTGTCTTTATCATTTCTCAGTAAGTTGTAAATATTACTTTTATAAATTTTCCTCAAGTTTTTGTAAGTTGCCAGCTCATNGTAAAAAAGTAAAATTATACATCTAGTTTGAATATTTTAATTATTTCAAAATGTTCCAAAAATGAAATCACAAACCTATGTTAGAAACTCATAAATCGGCAAATAATTCTATTGAAAATTTATTTCAAGCAGAAAACATTTCTATTTACTTATGCTATTTTTCAAAACTTCTACTGATAATTTGAAAATAGTTTTCAAATTGATTGGCAAATAATTTTATTAAAAATTATTTTTGTTATAAATATTTCTAAAGAATCATTGTTTACTTGTGTTATTAAGAGTATTTGCATAAAATTTCATAAAAATTTGAATATATTCTAAACATCAGTAAAATGTAAATGAGTAAATTTAATAAATTTTGTTATTAATATTGTTATTATTTTTTAAATGCATATTACCTAATTATTGCTAACTGTGCCATCATATATTTTAAATAAACCAAAGGTTTTTCTGCAAACCCAGTATGTATTTTAATTGGTTTACAATGCAACTAAATAATATAAAAACCAAAATTTTGTTATTGCATAAAGATATAATTTATTAAATTTCATACAATGATTTTTAAAAATTTAAATAAAAATTAACAGAGAAAAATTTAAAACTATTGTTAAAATGCCAAAACCACTGGAAAACTTATAATGATAACAATTAAGAATTTATTGAATATTTTGCAAATTTTGCTTGTGATTGCATTTAATAAATCAAGATTAGTAAAATTTGCCTAATTTATCTCATTCAGACAATACGATATTAATTTAGCATTATACAAATATATATTAAAACAACATTTAATATCTTATTTAAATTAATCATTCAGTTCCATACTTCTGTATTTTAAAATTATCATCAATAGAATAGCAATTACTGCAATTTGTCTTAAAACATTTGAAGTAACTAATATTTCATATAATCTCATTTTTTTTTATTTTCTTAATATAGTTTACTTTATACGTATAATTATTTCATTCTATGTAATATTTATAATACCTAAGAATTGTTGGATCATTCTCTTTCTCAAACACACATGTCTGATTTCCAATTACAACTCGGTAGCGATCAACTTCTTCTTTAATGTAAGTAGTATGACTCAAGCAATCTACAGAAAGCAGAAGTCCTCCGTCACTCATTCGATGAATTTCGACCTCTTTATATGAATTGTTTAAGCAGAGTAAATATGTATTTGGGCCTGATTTGGTCGCCTGAAATAATTCTGTTTGTAAATAACTTGAAAACAGTACAAATCAATAGGAAAATAAATATCTTACTTGCACAATGTATTTGATTCCATCATAAATAAGCTCAACTTCTACAGTGTTATTAAGAGTATTTGCAGGTAATATTTGACCTCTGGAATAATTAAATTTAATCAGAAAAAAATACAAATTATTCTAATAATTAATATAATGAAACCAGTCTAATCTAAAAACTTAATTATAAAATGCATCTATTGTTTAAATTTATATATTATCCTTATATGATAATTTAGAGTTTAAGTATCTGAACTTCTGTATTAAAATCTGTATTAAAAGCATATACATTTTATAAATAAAATTTTCAAGTGAATTAGGATTGAAAGTAGTTATGATCAATTCTTTATATACAGTAACACCTGATCAAATCAGAAACTTAAAGAAGCCAAGTTAATACTTGAATTCAATGATTAAGCCATTAACTTATTTGACCAGATAAATTTAAAAACTTCCAATTAAGCTTAATACTTGATTGCTTGTTGTTCACTCTTTTGGTTCTTTGTTCTTTGGAATTAAGCACAAAATTGCTACAGAGAACTTATCATATAGGAACACTTTTTTGATGGAAAAAGTAGATTTTATTTTCTATTATTTACAAAAGGAAATGCATTTTGGGCCATATGCCACTCTTCAGTCCTTATTATGTATAATTTGGCAAAACTATATGGAATAACTGTGTTAAAAATATAGAGTAAAACCAGTAAATACAAAAGTGAAAAACTAAAATTTGCTAAAATATAGAAAAAATTTACAAATAAAACGGATAAAAATAAAAACTTAAAAATCAAGGTATAAAGTGCTTCCAAACTTTGTTTTTTTTAGCCAGTTTTTATGTTTTTACCCTTTTTATTCGTAAATTTTTCTATATTTTAGCAAGTTTTTCTTTTTCATTTTACAGTTTTACTGCTTTTACTCTATATTTTTAACACTTAATAATTCCAGTAGTCACCATCAGTTATATTATAGTTTTACCAAATTATACTTAATAAGGACTGAAGATGGGCATATTGCCCAAAATGCATTTCCTTCTGTAAATAATAGAGAATAAAATCTACCTTTTCCATAAAAAAATTGTTCCTGTATGATAAGTTCTGCATAGCAATTTTGTGTTTAATTCCAAAGAACAAAGATCCAATTAAGATGTTTACAGTACTGAAATTTTAGTTAATCTAAAAGCAGCTTTAAAATTTAAAGATTTCTTATTTATTTTTTGAAATTTAAATGCTTGATTTTGAAAATGGTTAAACTTACTTTTCAAGAGATGTTTGAAATTTATGAAAGTTATTAAGAATTGTTTTGTCTGCAACATGAAGTGATCCACATACAACTGCCAACATTGTATCAGGTTTTTCAGACTAAATTTATATTAAAGAATACAATAAATATATATTTCAGATTTTAAATATATTAAAACACATATTTATACATACCTGCACTCTTTCAGCAATGAGCTGATCCAACCAACCTGTATTGATGTAATTTCTTTGAAAAGCCTCAGTTTCCAACAAAGTTATGAGATATTCAACAGTAGTACGAAAATCTCCTCTTATAGATAATTCTTTCAAAGCTATAACCAAATTTCTGTTTAAATAAAACAAAATTATTATTATTATTATTATTATTATTATTAAGATAAAATGGATCATCATCAAGGAATGATTGCATAAGATATCATCTACAGTAGTAGCCACTAAAATTGCATCCATATTACTACACCAAGATTATGAGTAAAGTATAGTGAGTCTTTTTCTTTACAGTTTATTAACATTATCATCACTTAAACTGATGAAAATTGTTTTAGATAAGAAAAGAAATTCCTACAGGAAATCCAAATAAGAGTCTAAGCTAGCTAGATGTCAATCCTGATTTCCACACTATTGAGAACTGCTATCATATTATGGGCATAAAATTGCAAAAAATCTGAAAACAAACAAACAGCAAGTGTGTATTAGAAGAATTTGGTGTCAAAACTTGGTATGGATTATAAGAATAAACTTATCCACCCTATGCCATAGCGCTAAACTGTTATGAAGACTCAAGGTGGCCCTACAAAGTTTTGAGATCCCACTCAACAAGAAAACTTTTCATGTTTTTCACACCCACTTATATTGTGAACTTTTTTTTGCTTTCATAACTATGAATGACAGCAAGTTCTTGCAACAGTGCTCATTAACAGTATTAATATATGCATGCAGTAAAAGAATAGTTACTTAAGTTCAATATACATTATATGTAATAAATTGCATTATCAGGTTTTTCAGACTAAATTTATATTAAAGAATACAATAAATATATATTTCAGATTTTAAATATATTAAAACACATATTTATACATACCTGCACTCTTTCAGCAATGAGCTGATCCAACCAACCTGTATTGATGTAATTTCTTTGAAAAGCCTCAGTTTCCAACAAAGTTATGAGATATTCAACAGTAGTACGAAAATCTCCTCTTATAGATAATTCTTTCAAAGCTATAACCAAATTTCTGTTTAAATAAAACAAAATTATTATTATTATTATTATTATTATTATTAAGATAAAATGGATCATCATCAAGGAATGATTGCATAAGATATCATCTACAGTAGTAGCCACTAAAATTGCATCCATATTACTACACCAAGATTATGAGTAAAGTATAGTGAGTCTTTTTCTTTACAGTTTATTAACATTATCATCACTTAAACTGATGAAAATTGTTTTAGATAAGAAAAGAAATTCCTACAGGAAATCCAAATAAGAGTCTAAGCTAGCTAGATGTCAATCCTGATTTCCACACTATTGAGAACTGCTATCATATTATGGGCATAAAATTGCAAAAAATCTGAAAACAAACAAACAGCAAGTGTGTATTAGAAGAATTTGGTGTCAAAACTTGGTATGGATTATAAGAATAAACTTATCCACCCTATGCCATAGCGCTAAACTGTTATGAAGACTCAAGGTGGCCCTACAAAGTTTTGAGATCCCACTCAACAAGAAAACTTTTCATGTTTTTCACACCTACTTATATTGTGAACTTTTTTTTGCTTTCATAACTATGAATGACAGCAAGTTCTTGCAACAGTGCTCATTAACAGTATTAATATATGCATGCAGTAAAAGAATAGTTACTTAAGTTCAATATACATTATATGTAATAAATTGCATTTTTCAGTTTATTCTTCTTGATTTCTTCTCTTTACTACATATATTATCATCACAAATATAATAATAGCTTAAATATTCTATTTTTTTACATCTGCTAAACAATTTTCAGTACATCAAAGGTGTTACAATTTCCATGGCTGATACTGTATACCTAATATTACTTAAAATCTATAGAAGTGCATCCATAAAGTTACCTAAGTCAAAATATCTAAAAGTAATTACTGTTTAAATATTAATGTCAATTTGAGTATTTTAAAATATTTCTTGAAAATATTCTATCCACTAAGAAAGTTAGTAAAAATTCATTAAATCCAAATGTTTTAGTGTTGGATAATAAATTTTACTTTTATACAAAACTTATACATATGCTAAAAAAAGATGTCATTCCAAGAAATAAATAATTATATCAATAATTAATCTATAATTTAAGCAAAAATTTAAGTAATTGCCCTAAACACCATAAACTTACTCTCGAGCTTCTTCTCTGTCCTCTCCCCATGAAAAGCAATGTCCGAATTGTGAATCGGCATATTCATGTAATCCACCTGATGCACTAACACTAAAGTATCCCCATACATTTTTATTACTTCGGAAATTTAATTCTTGAACTGTTCCAGCACTGGGTTTAAAACCTTCATCTGGATTCTCGCTGGTGATACGAGCAGCAATGACATGACCCCAAGGATGAGGTTTCTGTGGAGGATTTTCAAAATTGATAGGTTCTTCTCCCCAAGGAGATTCACCATATAATACTCTAATATCTTTAATTCTGTATAATGGTAATCCCATAGCAATCTAAAAATGTATATTTATAAATTACAATTTTGTATGTAACATAGGATGTAAAATGTTGAAACTATTAGTTAATTATTATTCATAAACATTATACAACATATTTTATAAGATGTAAAAATGTTTTCAACATTTTATATCCTATAAAATACATGGTAAAGTCAAAGATAAACCTAATTTTTAATATAAAAATATAATAGTACAAGTACTTACAGAAATTCATCTTCAAAATATGCATGTTCTAAAGTTATACAATTCTGCTAATGATCATACATATCATTTGTCAAAACAGTACTAAAAATCACTTTTTTGTGATGTCTTAAGGCCTCCAGTGACTATATCTCCCACCTTGGTTTTCAGCTTCCACTAGCTGTTCCCAGTCAGTGAATATCTGACAAAAGAAACATAAAAGTGTTTTCCCAATCTCGTTACTCCATTGATTTGCCCCAAAGGCTTTTATCTGATCCTAAAACAAAACAGAAGATGAAGGGATGCAGAGTCTAATAAGTAGCAGAGTGGAAGTGGCAGCAATGAAAGCCATTAAAGACATCACAAACAATGGCTTCCAGGATTGCTTTGACAAGTATAGATGCTAGCAAAATTTACTTTGCAGGTAGTGTGGATTAAAAATTTCTGTTTTGTATAATAAAACCCGTTTCAAAAGTTTAGTTTATTTTTGACTCCCCTTTGTATAAGAATTTATAAAGTTTTAAGTAATTGAAATGAGATTAAGATATTAATTAACTACAGCAGGAGGTTCTGTATTTGAAAGGATACAAAATGTCTTTATTTTTTTAAATATTTAAAATTAATCTTTAAATAATATTTTATAATTATTTTATTTCAACATTAAATTTTATAAAAAAAACAATTTTAGCATAAATTATAATTATTGGGTTGTTCGGAAAGTAAGTTCGTTTTTTTCTGTGAAAAAAAACGCAATATTCTTATAATAAATAAATATTTTATTGAATTATATGTTGACCATTTTGGTCAAATACCTGTTGTCATCATTTCTGGTAGTAGCATAATTTCACATTCATAAAAGTTTTGATCGTTGCTTACAAAAAACCGATCCAAGTGATTTTTGGCATTGTCATTTCAAGTAAATGTCTTATAGTTAAACAAAAATTGTACAGACCGGAACAAGTAATAATCTGAGTGTGCTCGATCTGGCGAATATGGCTGATATGATAGCATGTCCCATCTAAGTTATAACAGTTTCTGACGAGTTACCAAACTTGTGTGAAATTTGACATTATTATGGTAAAACACTACAGCTGTTTTTTTTTTTAATCAATTCTGGCTGGCTTTTTCTGTTTGATGATATTACACAATTTGTTTACTCTAATGCAGTACACTTTCAAATCAATTGTTAAATTGTCTGATAAAAGCTGCAAAAAAATTTTCTTAATATTCCACCAAATAGAACATTTCTCTTTAAGAACTCGTGGAATTCATATATCAAGCTTTGAAACAAAACCAATTTGATTCAAGTACTCATAAACAGTTCAATTTGACAAATTTAATCTCTTAGTGATTTCACATGTTGTTATTCGGCAGTTTGCTTCAATCGGTACTTTTGTTTTCATTGGCTTCTATTGGCCATCTGTAACATGGTGCATATTCAATACTGAAATTGAAAGAACGAAATTTTGTAAACCAGTTTTGGCATTGTCGTTCTGTCAACACATCTTCACCATACATGTCACACAATTTTTTTCTCACTTGAACGGCATTTTTATTTTTTTGGTAATAAAAAAGCAAAATATGCCGAAGATGCTGCTTTCGATCTTCCATATTTGATGGGACACAAAAAATAAACAATTGCACGAAATCAAACAAAATTTTTTACAAATAAGCCATAAAATGCTAGCTGTCAAAATATATAATGATAATACGGTTTAGAACAAAAATTGCGGGAAAAATACCACTAATCCGTCTAGTGGTAAAAAAAACGAACTTACTTTCCAAACAACCCAATAATTATAACTATGCTGTTTATTTATTTATTGTATTTTACTATCTATCTATCTATCTATCTATCTAAAAATATAAATAAATATATCCAAATAAATCCCATTTAATAAATATATTGTATTTTCTAATATTAACAGATTCCAAATACTTTAACCCACATCATTTTTCAATTTCAGGTATTCCTTGATTAACATGGTTAATTAATCCCTTGACCCTACCACATGCATCAAAATTACATTAATCATAATACAGTATCTATGTTAAATAAGGACAACTGGTAAAGCCATATAAATCAAAACTTCTGCCACGTATGTAAAGGAATTGCCACAATTAATTTTGCATGTTTATCAAATCCCATGTTAAATAAGGAATACCTGTACAAATTTCAAAATATGTATTCCTAAATTACATATTTAAAATATAATTTTGAATTTATAATTTGAAAATTTTAAAAACAGATGTATGTCTGAAAATGTTTAAGACTTAAATTAAAATAATATTAACAACACCTGGCTGTCAATAATACATAGCCTCATATTTAGTCAAAAGTTGATAATGAAAAAGTTTCATTGATACAATTTTGATACTGAGTACAGCTATTGTGTTACTACATTACATTTAAAGTATTTGTTTTTTTCCTTATTGTACTAGTAACAATTAATATCAATGCTTTAAAACTTTCATAAAATTCTATAAACAAATAATGATTAATTTTCATTATTTATCCATAATCAACATTAATTAATTATCCTTTATTCACAAGTTAACTTCTACAAACTATTTATACATCAAAATCTGTATACCTGAAGTTGTGCAGCTGGCAAATTAACATCAGCAATCATTTCAGTGCAAGGATGTTCAACCTGTATTGAGAAATTTAAATAATTATTATTGAAATAGTTTATATATTAATAATTCTACAATTAGTATTCATAATCAAATGCTTACTTGTAATCTTGGATTTAGCTCTAAGAAATAAAAGTTTCCATTTTCATCATAAAGATATTCAACAGTTCCAGTGCTTTCATAACCGACCATTTTAGCAAGTTTTACAGCTGACTGAAATAAAATTAAAATTCTTGAAACAAGATTTAAAAAATTCAAATATTATATATTACATATACCAGACATGGGCAAATGCGGCTCTTTTTGAGTTACATGCGCCTCTAGCTAAAAGTGTTAATTTCTGCTTTTTATTATTACTTTTACAATTTTATTTTCACAATTTTGTGAAAATATGTTTATTAAAAAAATTCAATATTTGTTTTATATTATATAATAAACTCGTGGTACAGAATAAAAAAGTACAGAACTTTGGCTCACATGCATTTTGCAAAACCTGCATTTTGGCTCCCACTGAACTTTTGCTTGCCCACCCAACATATACAGTCAAATCTTTGTTTATGAACTTTATTCATTACTAAAAGTTGTTTAGAAACCAATTTGTCCTCAAACCAAAACAAATTTCCTATAAGAAACAATGTAAAATGGATTAATCAGTTCCTGACTCCTAAAACAAAGTCTTTTTTTTAACTTTTTAGCAGAATTTCATGCATAAAAATGCTTACAAATTAATATTGTATAATGAACATAGATATAGATATCTCTATCCATTATACAATACAGATACAAGTAGCCCTCGGTTTACACCGGGTCAATTTACACCGATTCATAATAACGTCGCTGCGGAATTCGCCATTTCGCGGTGTAATTCTTTGATTTTTCCTATGCTAGAGTGATATTCATTTCAGTGTTGACGTATTTACCAAGCCACAACATTGTACATTAGTTAAAAACAAAGATTTTTATTGAATATATTTATTTTTTCTGTTTAATATTATTGGGTATGTATATATTTGCATTAAATTAATATTAAAATACTAAACGTTTAGGTATCCATGAGTCAAGTTATTAAACTTATTGATAATAGTCCAATAAATGGCATCCGAATCCATAGCGCCAATGAATGTATCCCGTATCAGTTCGTTCAGGAAAACACCTTACGACGCAGTAGCACTTCTGGCAATCATAAACTATCGTTAGTGAGACAAATCTACTTCTCACTATTATTAACTATTCTATTAACTAATTCTATGTCTACGTTATCAGTGATGGATGAGGAAGTGTCTGTAGTATCATTAATGGTAGTTGTTGTACTGTTATCAATGCTTGTTGCTGGATTATCCTGACAGGTTATGTGATCTTCATTGATAATGTTAAATGTTTCTGTCTGTTGATGTATTTGATCAGCAACCTATTGTTTGATAAGTTCAAGTGTTGTTTGTGGAATAAGGTTGTTGTGTATAATTGTTCTCTTTTGATCAACAACCCTTTGTTCGGTGACAGTGAGGTGAGGATATTGTTGTGTGAATCTATGGTGTAGTTGTTGTCTGTATGCTGTCATGTTTGTTTCGAGTCTTGTGATGGTGTAGTAAGTACGGATGATAAACTCATTCATTTCTGTTGTCTATTTCATCCGTTGGCGTGGTTTTCCAGCCTTTGTGGTCTGTGGATGCATTGCCACAGAAACACCAAGGCCAGGTTGATTCCTCACATCTGCTGAGGGCATTGCAGTAGCCATGCTTGGGCCGGCGCTGCTTTTGCCACCAGTAACTAAGGCAGACTGGAGCCTATTTTTCGAACGTGAGCCTCTGCCTAACCCACGAACACGGACCTTGTTAACCCGGGCGACGTCCGAACCGGTATCATACTTAGATCTGGTTACTAACATGATAAATATCTCCACAGATTGTGGGTGTGTGGTCACTCTTAGCTTCATTTCTCCCCATAGACCTTACTGGCATGGGTGTCCCTACCAGGAGCTTGTGCTCCAGCCTGCATTGCTCTANAATAATGCATTGGATTATTGGTCATATATATTTATTAATTAAAATACAATGAAGAATTATTCAAAAGAAAATTTTTAACTTTCTAACTATTAAATAGTGACTGTTATACAAGTTTAATCTCTAGGAAATTGCAGGCTATAAGATGGTGAATGAATTTTTTTTACCTTGGATCACTTCTTACGAATAAAGGAAGATGTGATAATAAAATTAAACACAGAATTTTCCTTGCTCACAATGCAACCTCTAAATTATTTAGAATTTGGAAAGATTCTGCAATCGCTATTTTTAATAAACTAAAGCTAATAAGAACACTTATTTTTCCAATTGCCACTTATGCCTCAGAAACCTGGACTATAAATGCCACTTCTCAGAAGAAACTTGATTCCTTTGAAATATGGACATATAGAAGAATGCTGAGAATCTCTTGGACTGAGCACCAAACAAATTGCTCCATCCTAAATCAACTGAAAATCACAACATGCCTTACCAATAAAATATACCAATCCTATCTTTGCTTCTTGGGACATATTTCCAGACACAAAAATGGATTTGAGAAACAAATTCTAGAAGGGAAGATCAATGGCAAATGTCCTAGTGGCAGATGTCAGATTAGGTGGACAGACCAAGTAATGATGTTATATTTAAAATCATCAAATATAACAAAGAATTGACTTCTGATGAATGATCAATGTATGAAGCCAACCAAATGGCACAACACTGTGAGCAGTGGAAAGATACAATTAAAGCTGTCAATTCGTAATATCATCATGCCCTCTGAAGGGCATAGGACTAAGAAAAAGAAGAACACTAGTCTAAATTTATAACATCAATTAACTTTCAATATAATACAATGTTAAAATTTTATTTAAAAATTTTTTATTTTTGTATTATTTATTTCATTTCATTTCATTTACTTATTTATAACAACTGTTAACTTTTAAAAATTAGTACTTAATATTAATTTTTTTGCAAATTTAAAATCATCAAATATAACAAAGAATTGACTTCTGATGAATGATCAAGTAACCAAATTGTTTCAAATTGTTCAACTTAAATTGTTATCTCAGGATCTTCTTACAAAACCATTTGTGATGGTGTAAAAATGTTTCCAAAGTATCTTCCAATAATATAACAAAGATGTTAAATATATAAAAACATTGAGATGTGGAAAATTAGAAAAATTAATAAAATTTATGTATAAAATTGTAAGTAATATCATACATTCAGTACCTCAAAAAAATTAGATAATTTAATTAATTTTAAGTAAATACCTGAGCCACTCCATGGTAATGTAGGAATTCCAGCAGTCTGTGCTACTATGGATGATGCAATTTTATCTCCCAAAGCCCACATTGCTTTTTCTGATGGAAACTTTATTATAATTACACAAATATAATACTTTTGTAAGTTTTTTGATCATTGCTTAGTGTACCATACACAGGGCTTTTAAGTGTAACTCAAAGTAACTCAAACAGGCAACTGAAAGCTTAGGGTACATTCATAAAGTTGAAGGAATTAAATGATTGTTTATCTACTCAGTCAAAAAGTAAATTAACAGTGCTATTTACTACAGAAAAGTGATAACTGTGTATAATATAAATAAATTATGCAGCACTCCAATAGGCATTCCAATAGAGGATGTGGCTCTCAAGTATTTCTGACAGGCAGTGTATGGCTTCTATCATGACAAGGTTTTGCCAACTCTGTTATAGATGATGTCATAATTAATAGTGACCAAAAGTTTTCAATAAATATCACAAAGTATATGTGTATAGAAAAACTCAATTCAAAAGGCAGTCATCACTTCCAATTATCTCAACAACCTTGTCCTCATTCTTAATTTTTTAAACTGTAATAATATTAATTCTACACTATATTTTTTATTATATCTTATAATTTTTTTTTATAATTTCATAGCATATAATTTTTGTCAGAGTCAGAAGTAGTTAAAATCTGAAAATGCTTAAGTTAAAAAATTTAGAAGTATCTTATCACTGAGTTTTTAATAAATTGTAATTTAAATTTCTTCAAATATAAAAAGATGGGTCAAAACAGTCCTATCATAGAGACGATTATTACTATATAAATTAGCTAATTAACATATGAATAAAATCTTAAATACTTATCTTATAAGATATAATTATGTAATAAGAAATATTTATATTAAAACAAACCTGTCTAAACATATTTGGAAAATCATCCGAGCTTTCAGACTTTCGAATTCCCTTTCCACCTCCACCTTCTGAAGCTTTAATCATAACTGGGAAACCAATTTCCTGAGCAGCCTGTTCATTAAAAAATAGTATTTACAACATTTATCAAAAAATATAAAAGTGAAAAAACTTAAATTTCTTGCAATAACCAAATTTATATGGATTTAATATTAAATTGAAAATCACTAAGATAAAACTTTTCATAAACATATGACTAACTTTTAAAGCTTCATCTGCATCTGTGACACATCCCTTTCTATATAATTCCTGATGTATCTTTAGCTTTTTAGTATTCAAATATTTTTCATCCCAGTCAGCTAAAAGTCCTAAACAAAACGTAATAAATTTTTCTTAATATACTTATTGATTTTTTACTTTTAAAAATTGTTCCAGCATAATCAGGTCAACATACAAAAAATATAATAAAATTTTACGATTATACAACAAATTTGCTATTTACTAACAAGATGTTTATCCATTATTCATTCATGTTTTAAAATTAATGACTAAATACGACTTACAAAATTTAATAAATATGAATTTTAAAAAATCTAAAATAATATTTTTAATAATATTAAATATAAAGAAACTATGAACCATTTAAAAATTTTTTTAAATATAAATAATTGTTAATAACAGATACAAACGTGTGTTAAGCTATAAAAAGCAAAACACTCAACATAATATCTCATTTATATAAGATTAAAAATAAAATTAGATAATAATTTATTTTTAATTTCTATAATTAGAACTATAATTTTTAAAAACACATTATTAAATTTTATATAGTTTTTACAATGTATTTGGTTATGAAATTTTCCTTTTCATTCAGTATTAAGTACCTAGATTAGTTACAAATGTAACTTAATTGAAGCCATAAAAAATAAAACTGATTCCAGTAGAGTGGTGATTATAGTTATTGTAGACATTGTAATTGTTCTACTAGAAAACTTTCAATGCTCAGATTTATAAACTAAAAACAATTTTTGCATTTTTATAAATAAATCATTATCTTATGAAATATCTCTAACAATATTTCTTATTAAAAAAAACATATATTTTAAAATCAATCTTAGGCAAAACCTTTTGGAATTTTTGTTTTTAAAGCTGTGTTAGTGTCTAGGATTTATTACAGATTATGGTATATATAGAATACAAGTAAATGTTTTAATTAGAAGTATTTTTGTTCTATTAAATACTTTAATTAATAGAATGATGTAAATAGAAAACTTTTTCTAATTAAAACATTTACTTTTTATCCTGAAATAAGCATCTTTTTTTATTCACATTAAGTTCCCTTTCAGAAAAATGTACAAATATAAAAACATTAAAAATCAACGATTTTTAATGTTTTTATCAGGAATAATACTTTTCAACTTAAAATGATTATTAATATTGAAGATTTGATTTGATAGAATTTATTAATAATGCATTGGATTATTGGTCATATATATTTATTAATTAAAATACAATGAAGAATTATTCAAAAGAAAATTTTTAACTTTCTAACTATTAAATAGTGACTGTTATACAAGTTTAATCTCTAGGAAATTGCAGGCTATAAGATGGTGAATGAATTTTTTTTACCTTGGATCACTTCTTACGAATAAAGGAAGATGTGATAATAAAATTAAACACAGAATTTTCCTTGCTCACAATGCAACCTCTAAATTATTTAGAATTTGGAAAGATTCTGCAATCGCTATTTTTAATAAACTAAAGCTAATAAGAACACTTATTTTTCCAATTGCCACTTATGCCTCAGAAACCTGGACTATAAATGCCACTTCTCAGAAGAAACTTGATTCCTTTGAAATATGGACATATAGAAGAATGCTGAGAATCTCTTGGACTGAGCACCAAACAAATTGCTCCATCCTAAATCAACTGAAAATCACAACATGCCTTACCAATAAAATATACCAATCCTATCTTTGCTTCTTGGGACATATTTCCAGACACAAAAATGGATTTGAGAAACAAATTCTAGAAGGGAAGATCAATGGCAAATGTCCTAGTGGCAGATGTCAGATTAGGTGGACAGACCAAGTAATGATGTTATATTTAAAATCATCAAATATAACAAAGAATTGACTTCTGATGAATGATCAATGTATGAAGCCAACCAAATGGCACAACATTGTGAGCAGTGGAAAGATACAATTAAAGCTGTCAATTCGTAATATCATCATGCCCTCTGAAGGGCATAGGACTAAGAAAAAGAAGAACACTAGTCTAAATTTATAACATCAATTAACTTTCAATATAATACAATGTTAAAATTTTATTTAAAAATTTTTTATTTTTGTATTATTTATTTCATTTCATTTCATTTACTTATTTATAACAACTGTTAACTTTTAAAAATTAGTACTTAATATTAATTTTTTTGCAAATTTAAAATCATCAAATATAACAAAGAATTGACTTCTGATGAATGATCAAGTAACCAAATTGTTTCAAATTGTTCAACTTAAATTGTTATCTCAGGATCTTCTTACAAAACCATTTGTGATGGTGTAAAAATGTTTCCAAAGTATCTTCCAATAATATAACAAAGATGTTAAATATATAAAAACATTGAGATGTGGAAAATTAGAAAAATTAATAAAATTTATGTATAAAATTGTAAGTAATATCATACATTCAGTACCTCAAAAAAATTAGATAATTTAATTAATTTTAAGTAAATACCTGAGCCACTCCATGGTAATGTAGGAATTCCAGCAGTCTGTGCTACTATGGATGATGCAATTTTATCTCCCAAAGCCCACATTGCTTTTTCTGATGGACCTGTTTAAGTTGCATTTTTAAATATTGTAAGTTAACTTCATTTCAGAACAATAATAATAATAAAATAATAAAACTATTAGTTTAGAATACTCAACAGCCTTGACTATTCAGCCATCATATTAAAACTATTAAAAATAAAACTTACCCATAAAAGCAATTCCATTTTTATGAAGAAGTTCAGGAAGTTTTGGATTTTCAGAAGCATGACCCCAACCAGCCCATACTGCCTAGAAATGAATTTTTTTCTTTATTAATGTTTGTAAATTAACAAAATATTACAATTCTAATTAAACCTGATTATTACCTGTACACCCATTCGTCTAGCAATATCTAAAATAAGTTCTACGTTAGCATAATTGTTGTTATTGGTACCTCCAGGAACAGGAACGTAATGATCAGCTAATTTTATATACTCTAAAAAAATTTATCATATTTTAACAAAACAAATTGAAAATATACAGTGAATAGAAAAATTGTAAATATTAAGATTTACCAGTTTCTTAAATTTACCAAAATTTCACAAAATTTACCAAATAAATTTTTGATAATTTTCAAAGTATAAGCATACCCTGCTTCTTGTTTTCCTTATAGAATGTCTTTTCGTTGTTAATATCCAAACTTTNCGTTCGACAGATGTAAACTAGACTGCATTTTAAAGGTATAGTGAATTTTTGTTAAATAGTAATGCAGTTAGAGATAGAATGAATAGAATGAATGATGGCAATGCCGGCCAGATATTATAGAAAGTTAGTTCTGAAGATTTGCAAGAACGAAGCCAAACTAGAATGTCTTTTCGTTGTTAATATCCAAACTTTATAGAACCTATACATCTCTCAATATAACATTTTTTGGCTAATGTTTACGAAAGAAAACTTATACTTACATCTCAAAAATTCAGCATCCTACAGAAAAAGTCCCAAATTACAGTCAAATAAAATTGGTTAGAATGTTAGAATTACACAAACATTTTGAAATACACCTCTAGTGTCAAGTAATAGAATATGCATCTCAAATATAGCTGGTGTTGAGTGAGGTGTCATAGTATCATATACCAACACCTCCTGCAGCAGAAAGCCTAATATGCTTTCATGATATCACTAACAGTAGTCAATCAATTCTCAAATAATAGTAGTAGGAGTATTATGAATGTGTTGCTGCAATTTATTCCATTTTTTATTGTAAATTTTTGTCTATACTCTTTAAAACAAATTTCTTATCGCTCTGTATTATTTGCATTGTCATATCATAAATGTAATGCTTGCAGTATAGCATTTAGATTGTACTGTATAAAAAGCAACTCTCTTCATTAACTGCATTTCATATCAAAGATTCACTACTCAAAAAACCTTATAAATTGCAGCCCTTATTAGCAAATTCAAACGTTTTCCGTCATCTTTAATGACCTTTATCAAGAACAAACGAAATTGAATGCTGACAGATTTGTATTAACGATAAATGCGTTTTGGAATGTTTTTAAAACATTTTTAGTGCGCAATCTCATGCCGATAGATTATCATTAAAAATGGAAAATAAATTAAAACAAAATAAGATAAGATACATCAACAAATAAAGAGATGCAAATAAAAAATACTAAAACACAAAAAATAAAATAAAGCAAAAACATTAACACATGTAGAGCAACCAGATTGCACATGTAATATGCATTGCTTGCCCTTCTTGACTGGTTTTGTAAATATGCCAAGCCTCTGCATACTTGAGTTTCTTTTTGTCAAGAATATTTTGTATCAAACTTGCTTTATCCCATTCCGCTTTAACTTCTGGAGGGTCTGCTAAAATGTATGTTGCCAGCACTGTGATTGGCTGCTCCTTTCTTATATTTCTTTTGTGCTCTGTCAGTCTTTTTTTAAGCGATCTCCCTGTAGTCCCAATGTAAAACAGCTCTTTCTGTCACCTCTTATCTGTTATTGGAATTCTATATACTCTGGACAGAAGGTTCCAGTCTAATTCATCTTTGTCTGCTCTTAACATTTGATAAATTGTTGGATTCCTTTTGTAAATTATTTTTTTGTTTGTTGCTGCTCCTATTCTTTTGTAGACATTGTTTAGCGGGGTCCTGTATTCCATCATTGTATACTTTTTTATTTTATTTCTTATATTCAGCTCATTGCTGCCTGCTTTTGTTTTGTTGGTTAGAGCGTTAATATTAACACCACATTGCCTTGCTAGCTTTTTGATATATTGCAGATCTTCATTTCTATCTTGCATTTTGCTACAGTGTGTATGTGCTCTTGCAATGAGCGCTCAGAATGCTGCAAGTTTATACATAGCTGTGTTGTGTGAATTCCACAGTATATACGAACAAAGGGTTGTATGTAGGCTTTCTGTAAACTTTTGTAATTATATCTCCTCTGTTGTCTATTTGTATTGATAAATCCAGAAATGTATAATTTTATCATTCTCTTGTTCTAGTTCAATCTCTAGGCCAAACCTGTTGTCATTTATTTCTTTTATGATTTGCTGTAATTTTGGTTTTACTTTCCATATAATAAAAACATCGTTGACATACCATGCATATAGTATGATTTTCATTGCATATTTCAGCATGATGGTGTTCTCTAACATTCTTAATACCATTTCACATAATGTACCTGCTACTGGACTTCCTATTGCTACACCTTTCTGCTGCACATATGTAACTCCTTTAAAGTTAAATATCGACAAATATGTGGTTAGATGCATCAGCTCTAGTATCTGTTTTCTCTTCTTTTCTGTATATTTGATTTTGTTTAATAAGATAATAATTTGCTAATAAATACAGCTGCAGTTTATAAGGTTTTCTGAGTTGTGAATCTTTAAAAAGTAACAGTTAACAACTATATTTACTGTTTGATGATCAGAAAACATTTTATATTCTAATATGATAGTTTGTAACCTATACAGTACTAGCAGACCCCGCCACGCATTGTTGTGGCTCAAAATCTATCTATTATAAATGTATAACACTAACCCTGTGGGTTTTTCGAAAAATCCCTTCTTAGTGTACATTCTCTCAACGTACCCTATTAAAACACAATCAAAAATGCAAAAACTGCATCTAAAATAGTATAAATAGAAGCAGAGTTCTTCATGGTAGGCCTTAATCCTGTTCATCTCTCCCCCAGTGGGGGAATTTCAACATGTATATTATATAAAAACACGTGCATATTCAAATACAACATTGTGTCAAAATTTCAAAGGAATCGGTAGACCAAACAAACATTACATTTTTATTTATATAGATAGATAGAAGATGATCTGGGTTTGTTTTTAATTCATCCTCACGGAAAAGCATAATACCTTACAGAAATGCAAACTTAGGTCATCATACTCGCGGAGTTAGTGCCATCTGTTGGACATAAAAGCCTTAATCCTAGATGATATCTTTTAATTTACATGAATGTTTAACGGAATAATATACAGCCTATGTCCACCCTGATGTTCCATTATAAATGTTGTTGAAAGAATTTTTGAAATCGGATGAGTAGTTTCGGAGATTACCTCCTACATCCAAACTTACAAACTTTACCTCTTTATAATATTAGTATAGATAAATCTTAAAATGAAAACTCAAAAACTAATTTTAGTATTTAATATTCTAATTTCAGGTATTATGAAATATTAACTCAACAAAATTAGAATTCAACTTTCTGAATTTACTGGGCACATCTTTTATCATCTTATTTCAGAAATGCATTTCAAATTTCATTATACTTTATCTGTGTACAAAATATTTAATAAAATTACTGTAAAATTCTTTATTTTTGAGAATTAAAAACTTAAAATAATATAAAAGCTTCAAGTTTTTAAATAATTTTATGAATTTTTTTAATAGAACAAAAAAATTTTTTTTATGTCTTAGAAAAAAATTAATTTCATTAGATATAACTCTCCCTATAAGTATAACCTCAAATTACAATGTTATATGTTAAAATATTAAGTCAAATTAAAATATATATAAACCATATATAATAATTACATAAAATAGTAAATATTTGTATTAAATTTAAAACAAATTCAGCAAAGTAAAATTAACACACAGTTTTATTTAGTATTTAATTTCATAGAAAGCCTTAAAGAAACTACTAAAATAGTCCTGTCTATAAGATAAAAATATAGAAAAACAATTATTTCAAATTACTAAAAATTGTTTTGTGATGACAATACAGATGTAAAAAACAATACTTTCTTAAGATTGGGAAATAAAATCAATTATCAATTTATTAATCAGATTAAAGCAAAATATTCTGTATTAAGTTACCTGCATTTGCTTTGAGATCTTCAGGTGTTACCATTACAACGAAACGTATGGCTCTTTCATTTTTAAACATTTCATATGCCCATCTACGTATCGAACGCATGCATTTGACAGCAGCAATACCATTATTGGCAATCAAAATCTATTTTTAGAATAAATTTATATTAATAAATACAAACTTAATTTGTAATTATTTCTTTTAATAAAATTAAATTTAAAAAAAAATAAAAAATACTATAATTTACTGTCTATAATCCACAGATTGTGTGTTAAAAAAATCCTCAACATCAAAAATTGGCTCCAATATTGTTTTAACTTTGTTATCTTTAGAAGCTTCCTAATATCATAAACAACAATAAAATACCTAACATATTTTATATGTTGGGTGAATGCAAAAGACAGGTAACAAAGTATAACTCACTTCTACTAGTGAATGGAATAAACTATTGTTTACATGTCCACTGACCTTCCAATATGCATTCTGATCTTTAAAATATTTTTTAGCTTAGCATAAAATCTTAATTTGCTCAGTGCCAAAAATAATTACATAATAATGCAAAGTTGTGCAAATTCAATAACAAAAAATTTTTTATAAACAAAAATTCTCTCTGTTGATTATATGCTACTGAAAATTATAAACAGAAAATTATAACTCCAAATAGAAAAAATAAATTGTAGAAATTAATTAATGACCAAAAATAGAAAAGGTATTTTGCAAAACAAATGAAGCTTTCTATTTATATCTGTCTCTGACTCTTTAAAAACAAAAATACTTCATATTTTCAATAAAAAAATTCATTGTCTGTTGATTTCCTTATTTATCATCTACTGTTTTCAACAAATAAATTCATTCAAATCTTCATTATGAACGACTACAATCTGACAAAAAATTTAACTTGAAGAGCAGAGCACACTTTCTAACAAGTCCTTTACAAAATACAAACCGTTACTAGAAGAAACCCATTCAAGATTATGTGCATTCATAACACTAATCATATTACTGTGCATTTTCCACAAGTGAGAGAAATACACACAGATGTGAATTCAGGTAAATGGTTTTTTTTTTTTTCTACAAAGAAATATTATATTTTTAATTGTGTTGGGATTGTCACCTGTGAACATTTTAAACTGTTTTACATATTTGTGCAGAGGCATAGCCTCTAAAAAAAGGTTGTCTCTGCAATGGAAATAGTTGTTCCTGGTGATTGGACATGGCAAGCAAAATTGGACTCGTATCCAGATGAATTTTACTTTTTATTAAATTTATCAGGTAAATGGTATCTACAAAATTTATTTTATAATTTACTGGTGGCTACATAATAAAGTAAGCGTTTTACTTATATATAGTCTTTTGAATTATCCGAAATAGTTTAAATTTAAATAACTTTATTTTGTTCTGCAGTCAATCATGTGTTGAATATAATCTGGTAATGCTTTGGACAATAAAAGCAAATGTACTTATTAATTTTTAGTTTATTTAAGTAATTTGTAAGAGGAATGTGGTATGATATTATAAACTAACTTATGAGTAAATAACATTGAATTTTTCATCATGGAAAGGAGCTCATTTGAGTTTAATGCACATGAAATTAATTAGGATTAATATATTGCCTAAAAATCTAGTACTATTTAATGTGAATGATATATTCAATTAATGTTCAATTCAATGATAATTACTGATATTTAAAAAAATCTTACCCTGGTAATAATATTATTTCCTCCAAATCTGCACACAAATTCTTCAGGTGTAGCCACTGTAAAATCCTTTCCATCTAACCGAAATGCATCCTTTTCTTGTTGCATTAAATGCACACCAGACATAGACTGTCTGAATTGTTAAATAAATACAAAACAATTAATATCTTAAAATGTAATAAAAATTACTTTTAACTAATTAATTTATTTCCATACTTTTAAATTTATTTAGATTATTCAAATACGTATAAGATATTATCTCAAATTCTAATTTATAGTAAAAAGTTTGATGACTGCTATTTAAAAAACACTAATTATTTTATATAAAAGTACAACTAATTAAGAAATAGTTAATGTAAGTAAAAATGAAATATTGTAAAAGGAATATTAAATCAAGAATGTAAGTCTAAAGAAAAATTTCATTTCAGAATTGTATACTTAATTAGAGTGATCTTAATTTAAAATTAAGATCATTAATTGTGTGTGTGTGTGTATATTGCTATTTCATTATTCATTTTACAATTCTAAAGTTAAATTTTTCTTTAGATATATATTTCTTAATTTGTTTTGGTTTTATATGAAATGATTAGTGTTCTTTTAATAGATCATCAGTCAAACTTTTTGCTGTAACTTAGATTTAGAGATAATATCTCACACTTATTTGAATAATCTAGGCAAATTTAAAGTTTATTTTGAAAATTTAAAAATAATGTTTTTCTTACATTCTATATTATATATTTTGTATATATTTATTGAATTTATTTTATATTTTACATATTTAAATACAGCAAAGCCTGTTTAAAACAGAATGCAATAGTACTGGCCAGAATATTCCATTTTCTCAGAAAGTTATATTTTTACTAATCTTTCTATGAATTGGAGAAAAGCATTAGTGTTATATTATCACAGTTAACTTCCAAACAATAAAAATACAATCTTAACAAAGAAAGAAAAAAAAGGACAGACTATGAATATCATCACTGAGGTGAATATAATTCAAACCCATAAGTTATATTTTTAATTATGATTCAGAATTTAGCTGCTGTTATGCCAAAAATTGCACTTTATTCAGGTTATGTTCTAGTCTCTCACAATTATAAGTTATATGATTATGTAAAAATACCCCAGAACACCAAACCAGTTACAAATAACAGAAATATTTAATATAACAAACATTTGTCAAACTGATACAGAAGAAAACATTCATTATGTGAAATATGTTGTTTGTTTAACTAGTTTGGTGTATTGAGGTGTTTTTAGATAATATATACCAGTCCTTGAGGTGTTTAATGTGTTATGTGACAAGATATTAATTAATTTACATGAAATAATGTTACTATATAATTAACAAATTCAAAAAAGTGTAAATGGCAGTCACCAACTACTGGCCTTAAAAATGTTCTTTTATATGCAATGCTGTTATAAAATGCATATCAAAGCAGGATGTATGTTTTGAAAACATGTAAACAAGTAATTTTTACACATATAAGAGTATGCTCTTATATGTGCGGAAATACAATAAGTGTTCCAGTAAAGTTGGCAATTGTTAATGCAGACTGATTTATATAAGAGTACAGGTAACCCCCGTATAACACAGTAGTTACGTTCCAAAAAATTGCCGTGTTATGCGAATCCGTGTTATACGAAACAAAGAACTAATACGAAAAGGAGGGTTAGGTTCCAAAAATTAAAAAACATGCTAGTATATTTTCATAATTAAGATAAATATCTTCATTAAAATTTTTTTAAGTGATACATATTAATATAAATTAAACAATGTTTTCTTCGTCATCACTAAAAACACTATTAATTAACCGAGAGCGTTTTCTTTTTGGCAAGTTATCCTTATCCTCTGAGCATTTTTCTGCATTATCTTCAGATCCATGCTTTACCTTTTGCAAAATGTATGTAATTTTAGATTGCTTGCTTCTAGTTAAAAGGTCTTTATAAATTTCCTTATATGGTGCTAAGCACTTATGAAGAATAAAGCAAGTATGGAATAAGGGAAAAACATTCGGCAACATCAGAAGCAGAAGCGTCGCGATCTGGCAACATTGAAACAAGTTTCGAGAAGGACCACGTGTATCGACAGAAGGCGAGAAGAGAAAATTTACATACTTAAGTACTAATAGTTCACGAAAATAATAATTTTCGTGAACTATTATTAGTTAAGTATGTAAAAATTTATTACATTTCCTGTTGTACGAGGGTTTTACCCAATTCTCGAACCGTGTCAGAGTGAATCCGTGCTATAAAAGTACCGTGTTATACGGGGGATGGTACCAATTCTCAAACCGTGTTAGAGCGAATCCGTGCTATAGAAGTGCCGTGTTATACGGGGGTTACCTGTATCAGGATATTTTCCAAAGTTTACTTTTGAATTCATCATCAGGCAATTTCCTTTTACATCTTTCAATACTCTAGATTGTTAATCAATGTCTAATTAACGAATCATTTCCTGTGTTTTAAAATTCTCTTCAATTTTTATAACTGTTTCAAAATTAATAATTGTAATTATACTAATAGATAAGTTACTATGAAAAGGAAATAAATATGGAACTAAATTAATTTTTTGGGCCCATCTACAATGATTATTTGTTGCAATTGCAGCAGTAATATCATCACTGGCATAAAAAAAATTGCATGCACTCATGCTAGTAACCTTAGACAATTGTCACTTTGACTCCAATGTATCTCAAAAATAAAATCATGGACCCAGATTTTTATTACATTTTTTATGTCCTCATCTCCTATTAAGTAAAATGACAAAGTTTAATCAAAATCAACTGATCAAATTCTGAAAACAACCTCAATTCTTAAGTCACACAGAAGAGGTTTCACCAGCACTCTGCCTCAATAAAAAAAACTTAGTTTGTGCCAATTATATTTTCCTTGGAAAAGTGATTTATTAATAAGCAACTTATCTCTATAAATATTAATTTATAGANGATAACTTTCAAAACCAAGTGCAAAGTGCAATAAGGTTGATACGTTTTATTAAATATTTTTACATTTGCAAAATCTGCTACTACTATTCCATATTTTAAGAGTTCTATTGAAAAATTTATATGTATTAAATCATTGAATTTATCATTCACAAAATCTAATCTCTCTTTATGTGACTGCTTTAAATCATTATCCTGAATGTTAGATCTTATATTTAGAATAGATTTTTTTCATTTAATTTTCTAATTTATACAAGTTCTGACCTATATAAATTAATGTTATTTTTATTAACAGAAAATAAAATCTTTAACAGTGCTTTTTATTAATAAAGAAACATACTACATATTTAATTTGTTCAAAAAAAAAAGGGTAAAAGGAACCTGCTCTACCTCAGATTCCATACAAGCTCTCAAATGCTGTATCTAGCAATGAATTTCAAAAATTGATATTTAAGAATAGTTTTAAAATGAATGTTCAATTTTTATTCAATGTGTAAAAAATGTGATGCATTCGATGCAACAGAGGATTTTATAAGGCAAAAAATATCGAAATTTGTAAAATTTCTATAATTCATACGGTTAGATTAAAGTGCTCCACAAAAGTACAGAACCACTCAAAAAATTGGTCTTTTGAGGTCAGAACATGCACTAATAGACAGAAATAATGTTTTTTATGTGTAATTCAGCACTTAACTTATAAAACCATAATTTTAGGAAACTTGAGCTTCTAATGTGTGGCTGACTGAGGAAAAGTGATAGAGTCAATTTACACAACTATAGAATTGTCATCTTTCTTGCAAGTTTCAAGTATGAAAGTGTTTTTTTTTTCATAATTTTTCATGGTACCCATTTAACAATTTTGAGAAAGGATAAATTGTAGCTTTGAGAAGCACTGGTTTAAGTCATCAGGCAGTAGCAAACAGCATCAAGCATTCAAAAGAGGTAGTTCAGTATTATTTGTCAAATTCTGCAAATTATGGACCAAAGCACAGATATGGACATCCTTCAAAGCTTACTCTGCAAGGCCACACATGAATTGTTAATGCAGCCTCCAATTCCACTACATTCATGCATCAAATTCAGGACAATTTGAGTATTCGAGTCACGAAACCATTCAAAATGGTTTTACACTACAGCAACAACATTGTTCGGTCTCGAACAAGAAGTACCCCTGTTCTTAAGCCCGAGCACAAAGCTGCCCTACTCAATTTTGCTAGGAAAAATATGGCCACTCAATGGAATAAGGCAAGTTTTATGTTTCATTTAGTCCTATTGTGCTAGTACAAGAAATAACAACCTTTTTGTCATTTAGGTAATCTTTTCAGATGAAAAAAAATTTAATTTGGATGGGCCAGATGGTTTAGCATTCTACTGGCGTGATTCATGTAAAGAGCCCAAGTAATTTTCACAAAGGAACTTCGATGGTGGGAGTGTTATGGTTTGGGTGCTTTTTCTGCATTGGGAAAATTGGATTTAGAATTCATTATCTGACATATGAACAGTGCCAACTATCAAGTTCTGGAGAAAAAATTGCTGCCATACAAATGTAGATTCAGAAAAACTCCTTTTATTTTTCAACTAGACAATGCATCTATCCACGTATCACGAGATATGAAACGGTGATTTGAAAATAAACAGACTGAACTTCTGGATTGGCCACTTCATTCTCCTGATTGCAACTTTATGGAAAACATTTGGGGAATCTTGATTTGCCGAATTTATGACCAAACTCGTCAGTATGCCAATGTTGAACACTTAAAAGAAGCAATTGTCACTGCTTGGAACTCCCTTGAGGCATTGATCATAGAAAACCTTGTTGATAGCATGCCAAATTGCATTTTCAATCTTATTAGTACAGGAGGTGTGCAAATAAATTACTAAATTAAACTATTTTGTAGTATTTAATGCTTTTTGCATTCATTTACTAATCAATTCTATACTTTTGTGGTGCTTAAAATCAGTTTTTTTACAATTTCTGCTGTTCACTACCATATAAGAAACTATGAGTTTTGACAAATTGTTTTCATAAATCATGAAAAATATAAAGAAGGTTCTTAATAAAAGAAAGAAAGAAATATAAGAAAGGTTCCATCATACATGTAATTCCTAACCTTTGTATAGTAAATTTGCAGCTGTACTATACTTATGTGGAACACCTTACTGCTATAAATTACATAAATATTTAATT